GTGTGTTTCCAGTCTTCTCTCCTCTCATTACTCAAAAGAAATCACATTCTTGAACTGACTTTTTCTCTTTTGAGGTTTAAAGGTTGAACAAGGAGTGCTAATTAATATTGCCCAAAGAACTAGCTTAGGGGCCGGCACATTGGCTCACTGGCTAGTCCTTCACCCTCAAGTGCTGGCATCCCGTATCAGTGCCAGTTCATGTCTTGGCTGCTCCATTTCCCATGCAGTTCCCTGCTTATGGACTGAGAAAGCAGCAGAAGATGACTCAAGTTCTTGGACACCTGTGCCCAGCGAGACCTGGAGGAAGCTGCTGGCTTTTGGCTTCGAATCAGCTCGGCTCCAGCAATTGTGGCTGGTTGGGGAAGATCTTTCTGTCTCTCCCTCTCTCTGTAAATCTGCCTTTCCAATAAAGATGAATCTAAAAACAAGCAAACAAACAAAAATTAGCATAAATGAACTTTTTCTCCTCACTCCTTTATCTACTCCCATGCTGAGTCATAGAAATTCTAGGTAATGATCTTCTTTTGCTGTATCATTGAACTATAAATAAGAAGGAACATCTTTAAGCACCACAGAGAGAAATCACAGTAGTACTGTGGCTGACCGTGATCATTGGGACATATCAAAAAATTTAAAATTAACATACCAAACCACATAATATTTGGGGCTGATTCCAAATTTTCAGACTATTCTGTAGAAACCCAAAATCAAATGAAAATGGGCCTAGCCACAAAAACATTTTTGATCACCAAATCTACTTGCTGTATTGCAGCTGCCATTTTTATATGACCGGTTTGACACGATGGCCACTGTCTCTTCTGCTGTAATGAAATAACTGCTGATTCTCACACTGACCTGACAACTTTTAGTTGGTCTCCTCATGCTTTTCACTGTGTTCCCTTAAATTTATGAACCTCAGGTTAAGGCATTGATTTCTGTCTAACATCTCTTGATAGTATTGAATTCTAATCTTTAACTTTTACATGAATATTTCTGTTAAAGCTTTTTTTTTTTTTTTAAATTCTATACTGTTTTCCATGGTTTTGTGGTAAGGTTTTATAGTTCTCATTATCTGCTGAAAATACTCAACAAAAATCATATCTAAAATAGGAAGTATCTGTTCTGTGAAGCTAACCTTTTCTCTGGTTTCTCTCTTATTTCTATACATAGCACTACAGTGTTTCTGGGTAACAGGCTTGGACTGTGAAATCATTTCTGTTTTTCTAGTGTTCAATGATAGTTACATTTATTCGGTAGCCCTCTTTATTCCTCCAGCTTATTTGTCCCTTTTTTCCCTAGTTTTTTTTTTAAATTTTATTTATTTGCCTTGAAAGTCAGAGAGACAGAGAAAGAGACAGAGAGAGAGACAGAGAGAGAGACAGAGAGAGAGAGAAATCTTCCATTCCCTGGATCATTCCTCAAATGGCTGCAACTGCCAGAGTTAGAAGCCAGGCGCTTCCAATGGGTATCCTTCCTGGAGGCAGGGACCCAAGGGCCTGATTTTTCAGGCCAACATCAGAAGTTGGATCAGAAGTGCAATAGCTGGAACACGAATTGGTGCCCACCTGGGATGCCAGTGCTGCAAAGGGGGAGGGGGGAGGATCACTCTGCTGTGCCATTGTACCACCCCAGCCCCCTTTCCTATTTCCAATGCTACAGTCTCTGCACTGGCTATAATTTTTTGTGCATGATGTATGATATTAGTTTGGAATTTAAGTTTTACATTTAAGTGCAAAGCAAAATGTGACTCCAGGCTTTTAAAAGAAACTATTTAAATTATTTAATTCATATCCTTTTTACTGTCCTTTTGGAGAAGCAGTCTATATAGGGTTTGGCTTAAAGATTAACACATCTACACCTCATCTCAGAGCACAGGAGGCCAAGTCCCAGGTCAGATCTCAATTCCAGCTTCCTGACAGTGTATACCCTGGGAGGCAGCAGTGACGGCGCAAGCATTTGGGTCCCTGCCACCTAGAGACCTGTAATGAGTTTCTCGATCCTGGCTTTGACCTTGCTAAGCCCTGCGTGTTGTAGGCATTTAGAAAATGAACCTGGACTATACCTTCACCACCCTCATTTATAAATAAAAACTTCAAAGAAAACCAAAAAACATTAGACTTGGGATTTTAAAAATATTTTTGCTTTAAAATTGTACCTTTTTTCTCATCCACTAAAAAAATTCATTTCAAGTTTATCATACTTACTTATTCATCTTACAATACAAAGAAAAGAGTTACCAGATAATTGAATCAGCATTACTATTTATAGCAAACCTAATAGGATAAAAATGTTTACAATTTTTGTCCTCAGAATGCATCTAAGAATATACAAAGTACCATGTTTTGAAATTATTTGTGACTTTTAAAATTATCTTAAAAACTAATTTTTACAGGGTAAAATTCATTGCTTCAATTATTTTCAATTACAGGGTTTTAAATTATTTCAGCTTTCACTGGCCATTGCATTTTATGGTTCTTTGTCCACAGAGTATAAAGAAAAGAATCAATAGATAAGTACATTCCTACTCTGGCCTCCTTCACCTCATTCCCTCTGCATCACGGTAACAATTCATTTATGCTTTCAGTTTAGCTCTATTACATAAAAACAGGCACATGTACACTATTCTGTGTCTTGTTTTTTTTTTTTTTTAACATTATTTCCTGCACCTGTCCATTTTAGTTGTTTGACCTGTTCCTCATTAATTAGACAAACATGTGTATTTATTCTTCACTTTTCCTTATAATGGAGAGGAACATGAACTGTCTTTTGCATCCTTCTGCTTGGACCAGATCCATATTTCCCTGTGAGGCTGGATGGTTTCCCAATGCCGTCCAGTCTAGCTAGACATTAATGCAAGGTGGGTCTTCCTGAATAATTAGCTTTTAATACTTTCCATTTTATAAATGTTCTACCTATCTATTCCATTACATTCAATTCCTCTGTCTTTTTCTACTGCAGTTCTGGGCTTATCTTTCTAGTCCTATATACTCTAGTTGCAATATTAAAAGTCTTTGATACGTGAGGCTTGGTTCAAAAAGATATCAAATCAGATGTGAACATTTCTTCTCTTTTCTTTCTTTTCTAAAGATTTATTTATTTTTATTTTGGAAAGGCAGATATACAGAGAGAAGGAGAGACAGAAAGAACTTCCATCTGCTGTTCACTCCCTAAGTGGCTGCAATGGTCAGAGTTGAGCTGATCCAAATCCAGGAGTCAGGAGCTTCTTCTGGGTCTCCCACATGGGTGCATTGTCCCAAAGCTTTGGGACATTCTCTACTGCTTTCCTAGGCCACAGGCAGGGAGCTAGATGGGAAGTGGAGCACCCGGGTTTAGAACTGGCATCCATATGGGATCCTGGCGGTTGTAAGGTGAGGACATTAGCCACTAGGCTACTCTACCAGGTCCATATGTGAGCATTTCTGCTCCACCCTTCTACCAGAGCAAGATTTTGTTATTACACTGTTAGGGTGACTAGCTGAATGGTTAGAATTGGAGTTGGGAATGGCCTGAGGCAGGGGATGCCCTGACTTGTTAACCTGACTTCCTTATAGCTCTCTTTTTTTTAATCTTTAAAAATCCTTTTTATTTTTTTAATTTTTTAAAAAGATTTATTTTTATTATTTTTTTATTGGAAAGGCAGATATACAGAGAGGAGAGACAGAGAGGAAGATCTTCCGTCCGATGATTCACTCCCCAAGTGAGCGCAATGGCCGATGCTATGCCAATCCAAAGCCAGGAGCCTCTTCCGGGTAAATTTGAGTTGGAGGGCCCGGTGCGGTGGCGCAGTGGTTAAGGTCCTCGCCTTGCACACCCAGGATCCCATATGGGCACCGGTTCTAATCCCGGTGGCCCCGCTTCCCTTCCAGCTCCCTGCCTGTGGCCCGGGAAAGCAGTCGAGGACGGCCCAAACCTTTGGGACCCTGCACCCGTGCGGGAGACCCAGAAGAGGCTCCTGGCTTCTGATCGGCATAGTATCGGCCGTTGCGCTCACTTGGGGAGTGAATCATCAGACAGAAGATCTTCCTCTCTGTCTCTCCTCTCTGTATATCCGCCTTTCCAATAAAAATTTTAAAAATAAATAAATCTTTAAAAAAAAATTGAGTTAGATGTTTCTTACAGCCAAGACAAACCAGACTAGAGCTGAGACACTGAGGAGTCACCATAGGATTTCATGTTGTGAAGCAGAATGACTCGATCAATAACATTCAAGGGATGGGCAGAGTCATATGGGATGGAGACAGGTCACCTGAGTAGGAAGGGTGTTTAGAACAATGAAGAACAGTGTTTTATGGAAAATACAGCAGAAAGATCAAGACTAAAATATATCAGTTGGATTTTTCTTTTCAAAGAGTAACAGAGAGACAGAAAAAGATCTTCAATGTGCTGATTCACTCTGCAAATGCCTACAACAGCTAGGGCTGCATAGCCCAAAGCCAGAAGCCAGGAACTCCATCCAGGTCTCATATGGGTGGCATGGGCCCAAGGATTTGGGCCTCTTCCTCTTTCTAGGCTGATTAGCAGGGAGCTATATTGGAAGTGCAATAGTGGGAGCTCAATCAGATGTCAGCGTTGCAAACAATGGATTAACCCAATCAGACCACAATGCAAGGCCCCAGTTGGGCTTTCTAACAGGTCAATGGTTACCTTTGCAAAAAAGTTTTATTACGTAGAAGGAATACAAAGAAAAGAGCAGTGTTGAGACAAAAAACGGAAAACACAACATGGGAGATAAGTATATATCACATCTGTGGGAACCCTGACTAGGATGAGAAGACAAGGGGGCAGGGATAGCTACAGGGAGAGCTTTCCTTCCTTTTCAATAAATAAAACCTAAACCTATATCCATGAAGTGCATTGAAGAAGGGACAATAGAATGGGGGAGACTGATTTCCAGAAAAGAATGGGGGGGGGGGAAGGGATGGCAACTAAAACCCAAATACGAGTAGTTGCTTTTGATGTCCAACAAACTACACTAATAGTGCTTATTGTTTGTTAGGCATTCATCCAAGAACTTTTGAAGAAATGGAGTTGGGAATGAGGAGCTGAAGTAATATGCACCAGAAAATCAAAATTATCTCTGTAAATATGGAGATATGGGTAGGTACTAATTTATAAGAGTGGTAAAGAGATTTTGAAACTTGAGAAATGGTGCTTTGAAGGAGTGGAAATTGACTAGAAACATGCAAAACTTTTTTTAAACAAGTGTTTCTGAAAAGTAATTCAGGTTTTTAAAATCATTTTCTCCCTAGTACTGGGACACATTAGTGTCGAAGTTCAGAGCTAGACTACACCAACATGTTGGTATAGTTGGAAGTTGGTGAGACAGACAGGAGTTTAAGGAAATTAACAAAGCTGGTAGAAAAGTCCAGCGATCGTAGGGTTAGGTCAGATACAAACAGAAGTGAATTCAGGACAGGGCAATAATGGCTGGGGTAAAAAAGTTAAGAATACAAAGATTACAAGCATAAAGAATCCATTGTCTCTATCCCACCTAAGTAGATAATCCAGGCACGTTGCCAAAGATAATGAAAACCTGCCAACAAGTTAGCTGTCACCTTCTGTTCAGGGTTTTCTCACTATAGCTGTGGCAGGATAGATGAGCCTCGCTGCTCAGTGTTGTCCACTGAGCGTAATTCATGTCACAAGTTTCCTGAGACCTGCAGATCCTTAGGCCCCATCCTAGAACTACTGAATCAGCCCGATATACATATAGGATAAAAATACATATGTATTTTAACAGAATCTCCCAGGGACTTGTGTGCACATTAAGGTGCATAGATAAGGCAGTGTGTCTTCACCCTTGATTTGTTGTAATATTGCTCACAGTATGCTAACAGACAAAAGGACAGACTTTTCTTGAGTTCTTGACTCAATGTGTCCCCCTTTTTAATCTGTAGCTTAAATCCTGCCCCTGATGTCATCCTCCCAGTGCACTGGAGAGTGGACCCCACACTGCAGGTGTACCCTCTGCAGGCTGGACTATGTCAAACCCTGTAGCATGTGATATCATGCTGATCACTAACCAGCTAGCTCACCAAAACAGGTTTTCCTGGATCCAGTCATGTTGGTGTAATTTTGCAAATTTAACACATTCTATTCCTATCAATAGGATATAAAAGACAATAACAGTCTCAAGGGTACACATCACCTTATGAAGCATTTCATCCATGACACATCTCAAATTACTCTCATCACTTAACAATTACCCTGCTGATCAGCAGAAGCCATGCCCCCACCCCAGACCTGTCACTCATGTCCTTCTGAATCTATGTGCCTACATGGAGAGCTGCTTTCTGGCACGTTCCTCTATTTTCTTTCTCCAACATTCCATAACCAGCAGCCAGCTGTATTTGCTTAGACTTGTAATTGTTTTTGTGTGGTATAAAGAATATCTAGACTTCATCTCTCTTCCACGGTTTCTTATTTTGAATATTGGGGTGTTGCACAAATTGAACTATAAGCTTCTTTTTAGTTTTAAAAGCCATGTGTGTATTATAGCCAAATTTTCTCTGTCTACCACACACAGACACACAAAGCATGAGAGCTAGTGAGCCAGGAAATTAGTACAAGTGAAATGAAAATCAGTTACTGTCAAAACCATTCTAAGGAGAATTTTTCAGTGAGCTACACTTCACACACTCAGTCTGCCATTGGGGCAGCATTAGAAAGCCGTTCCTGTCCTTCTCCTCTTAACACTCCTGTGATTATGCATGGTTTTCAGCTGCTGTTTACTCCTTTCTTTGTGTAAAACCAAACAGAAACTCTTCAAAATCAATCAAGCCGTTTGGGAATCGGCTGTGGAAGCCTGAGCGAAACTGCCTCCCGGTCATGTGGTCCCACCTTCCAAAAGGATGGTTTCTGACGAGGGAGGCAAATCAGCGCCAAACCCATCACCCAGGTACCTGTTGGGGGAGTCGGCGCCGACAGGCGTTCTGGGAACGTTTTTTTTTTTAAAGACTAGGGAGGATTTTTGTGAGCCCAAATCGGCGCTCAAAGAAGGAAGAAAGCCGTTTGTTCCCTACTCAAGCTAACTGGTCCACCGGGCTGGGAATGCGCTGTTACCGTTGGGGGAACCGAAATTGCTAAGGTTAGAGGCGTTTCACAATTGAACGGGGGGAGATTTTTAAAATGCTGCAGGGAGAGGTGTTTGCCATGTGACAGCTGATGGTCACAGGACCCTGGTTCCTTCTCCCCTGGCCCGGCCTCTCCCGGTCACTCACGGTGTCTCGGCTCTGGGTTCGGTCCCTTCTCCATCCACCCCCAGCCGGCCCTTCTGCTCTTCCAGGGCTCTCCTCCCCTTCCGCCAGCCCCTTCCTCACCCTACACTCCCCCTTTTTTTCCCTAGACCCTCCAGCCCAGCCCAGCCCACTCCACTTTCTCGCTCTTTCTCTCATTCCGCAGATTGGCGCTCCCCCTGCACAGGCCGCCTCCGCCCTCCCTCTCCGGGAGGGTCCAGGGCCCCGGAGCGGCGGGCGGGCTGCGCGCAGGCGTACTGCGCGGCGGGCGCGCGGGCAGGCTGGCGACGCGCACGCGCGCCGCTGCTGAGGCTCAGCTCCGGCGCGGGCGGCCGGCCGTTCTCGAGCTCGCTCCGTCTGGGCTCCGGGCCCCGCAGCGGCGGTGGCGGCGGCGGTGGCGGCAGCACCACCATGTTCCTTCACTCGGTCAACCTCTGGAACCTGGCGTTCTATGTGTTTATGGTCTTCCTGGCGACCGTGGGGCTGTGGGATGTCTTCTTCGGCTTCGAGGAGAACAAGTGCAGTATGAGCTACATGTTTGAGTATCCGGAGTATCAGGTAAGGTCCCGCCCTCCCTGGGCTTGCTCCTGGCGCGCCCGCTCCTTCTGTGGTTTCCTCACCCTCCCGGTCGTGGTTCTCCGTACCTCTTGCACTTAGCTCGTCCAAACCTCGTGTGTATTCGCTCTGCCCTGAAGACTCCGCCGACACCCCTCAGATCCCCTCAGCTGCCTTTTGTGTGTTCTTTTACAATGGGGTGTTTGACAGATGACTTCCCGAGCGTCCTCCTCACCCTCGCCGGAGTTGCACCCTTGCCCCTGCGCCCCCCTCGCAGGCTCCACATCCTTAGACCAGCCCCGGAGAGAACACCTCTGCCCTTCTTCCCAGATCCGAACCCCGCACTCCTCGCCTTCCTGCTTTAACAGGTGCCCCTCCTTTGCTTCCCACGCTCCCGGAGACTCGGACGTCAGATGTCGCTTTTCCAGAAAGGAACCGAGCGTCTGCACAGTGTAGCCGCACAAGAATAAGGTCTTAGTTACTTCCCCAGGCCGTTGTAGAGGCTCCAGGTGAAACGTGACCTCATGAATAATTACACTGGAAACTATCCAGGTTGCCCTTCGTGCAGAGATGCTGTAGGCTCACCTGTGCTGTAGGTGTGGGGTAGTGCGTGTGCGTGCCTACCTGTGTTTATACAGGTCGTGAGGCGGCCCGCCTCTTACCAGTTGCATGCAAAATCTATTTCGCAGTGTTATTTTTGTTTTCTTATTGTGTGCTCAATGCGAGGGAGAACTGGACTTTCTCTCTCTCTTCCTCTCTTCCTCTCTCCCTCTCTTCCTCTCCCCTCTCCTTGCCCCCACCTCCTCATTTCTAGTTGAAAGTTCTCAATTATTTACTTCGTTAGTTCTGCATAGTGGAGTTTCGAATTTCATTCATGACCAACTGTAAAAGGAGATGGTGACAAATTACATGGCAGTTTACATGACTGTCCATAGAATTTTTTTCCTGATTAATTTTCCTAATTAATGTGTATCTGTTAATCGTGAAATGTCTTCTAACATCCATAAGACATATTTGCAATCAGATGCATACTGATAAAGTGCATTTTTAGAAAGCCAAAGCACATGGTTTTTTTCTTGTGGATAAGGATGTGATTTGGAATGGCTTTTTGTAGAAATCATTATGGAGGAAGTGTATTTGATTATGCTGCTATTATTTAGATCTTAGGGCTTCTTACTGTTTGAATTGCCTGAAGGCATCCTTTCTCGTGGGTAAAATTATGGACATTTTAGATTTCATTTGCTTTGAAATCCCTATTTTGACTTTGCATCAGTGATTGCAAGGGAGTGGAAACATTTGCTTTGGATGTTATGGAGGGGGAATATTCTAGAGTGTTACTATTATTTCTGTTCATTCCTGAGCCAACATGCTGCTTCGTGTGTATTAGAAGCTATGTACTAAAAGACATGGGCTTCTACTTTTTGTTCTGTGAAGCTGGAAACAGAGCTATTATGATCTCCTTCTATGTTTTAATAGGAAAATCCCAATAGATTCAAGTAGGTCACTTTGATTTTTGCAGCATTGAAGATTTTGATTAAAATAAAATCATTTTGGAACAGTACATTACTAATTCCCACTGATTTTTGGATTACCTAGTTATTGAAGCTATTTTAGCATTTGCAAGTAGTAAAAATTGCTTTCTGTGGTGTTGAGAACAAGCTATGCAATCCTTATAAAATTGATGGGAAGGTGAAAAAATTGGTGTAGCTAATGCAGAACAGTCACTTTTTTTGTTGTTCTTGTTGAGTAGTCTAGTTATTTTGGTTCAGATTGTTTTTTGCCGGGCGGTTTCCGACATTGTTAATATGTATATTTATAATTATAGCATCAGGAGCTGTTGATCCACATTTTCAGCACATTTTTTGTTATAAAAAGCTGTGTTTCACTGCAGCATTATGTTTGACTCTCGGTGCTTTAATTTGCACCCAGGTTGTTTTGTTGAGCAAGTCCAATCAAAATCTGCCTAGAGAAGAGAGTAACTTTTAATAAAGCTAAATTTTCGTGTAAATAAAATCTTTCTGTTCAGACCAAATAGTTTTTATGAGTAAAATGTTATAAGGATATTTTAGGTATTGCTTCCTTTTTTTTTTTTTTCATGATGCAGATCCATAGTCACAGGGATTCCCCTTCTCACCACTGCCACCCCAAATCCTTCCCCTACCCCACTGTTTTTCCCCTGTTATAATAGCATGGTCCTCCAGGAACAGTCACAAGTCCATCATCTGCTGCTTAATTGTATCATGACATTGTAGGTATAGACAATGGTAGAGTCCAGCATCCTATTGTCATATTTAACAGTTTAACTGGGAGTCTGTCTTTTACTCAGGAATAGAGATGCATGCTGCAATGTATCTTCACTTCCTGGTAGACTAGTCTCCATTGTAAAGTTCCCCTAGGTGAATATACTTATATACATGTTTACCTATATATCTATTGATCTTGTGTTTTGTGTGAAGCTTGCCTTTTATCACAGAGAGCATATGATATTTGTCTTTTGGGAATTTGCTTGTTTCACTGAGCATAATGGTCTCTAGTTGGAACCATTTTGTTGCAAATGGTAGGATTTCTTTTTTGTTTGTTTGTTTGTTTGAGCCTTCTCAAAACCAGGAGCTTCTTCTGGGTCTCCTACGTGGGTACAGGTTCCCAGGGCTTTGGGTCTTTCTTGACTGCTTTCCCAGGCCACAGCAGGGAGCTGGATAGGAAGCAGGGCAGCCAGGACATGAACCAGCACCCATATGGAATCCTGGCATGTGCAAGGCAAGGACCCCAGCTGCTAGGCTCCTGAGCTGGGCCCCTAGAATTTTTTTTTTAATGGCTGAGTAGTAACTTTTAACTGTTGCTTACAGTCCACTTGTTGTTCACAGACTCATAGCTAGCATGTAAGATATCTTCATATTCGAATTTCTTCTCTCTCTCGATCCTTTCTTTCTTCTTGCTGCTCACTTGCATCTTTTTAGCCAGCCAGAGAGAAAAATAGAAAGGTAGTTGAAGCATGATTGATTTTATTGTCCATTTTTCAAAATAAAAAAAGTGGGGAAGCAATTAAAAACCTTTGCCAAAATGAAGTTTTAATTTAAAATTATTGGTTATCTCTATTCATCCTCTGGCTGCAAATTGTCCTAGACCTATTCAGCCAGTTTGCTAAACATCTTATACACACAGCTTAAATCTATCAGGCAAAGTAGGTATGATCCTCTAAAGGTTTTGCCTTATGATAGTAAGATGAAATTTACATTTAGCAGCAATGCACTTTAGATAAATGTAGATGTGGGAGCCTTTGAGTTATTTCTCATACAGCAGTGTGCTTAAGTCTCTTCATTTGTGTGACCTCAGGATGGTTCTTCTAATGGAAACTGGCTGGTGTTGCGGCAGTTGGTTGTGCCACAGCTTGGGCTGCCCATGTCCCATGTTGGATGCTGCTTTGAGTCACGGCTGCTCTGCTTCTGATCCAACTTCCTGCTAATGTGCCTGAGAAGGCAGTAGAGGATGGCCAAGGTGCCTGGACCCGCCCTCCATGTGGGAGCTTGGGTCTGGTGTGGATCTGGGTGTTGTGGCTATATGGGGCGTAAACAGGGTAGATTTCTCTACCTGTATTCTCTCTTACTGCTGCTCTCCTTTTTCAAATAAATATATATAAATAAATCCTTTTTAAAAGGAAAGTATAAATCATATTTTGTTATGAAGTGTGATGTTTATTTAGCAAGTGTTATGGAATGACTACTTTATGCTAGATGTATCTGGACACTTAGTGTGGATGTGAATGGATTGGCAGTAAATCAGACCTTATGCCTTTATGTCTTTATAATTTAAGGAGGCAGACAGGAATATAATGTATGGTTATAGTACACGGTCGTGCTGTAGTTTGAAGAGAATGCTTACAGAGTTTTCAGAGAGTGAGCATGGAAGCTTGTATTGGGCGTTCAGAGGCTTTAGAAAGGTTGCAGGGAATTGAACCATAAAATGTAGAAGCAACCTGAGTTTATAAAGTGCAGAAGCAAACTTGCATGCATATATAACATATGTGAAGGTAGAAAGGGGCATTGCATTTTCAGTGTTTATAAGGAGGAAATGAACTGTGTCCATATCCAGATTGTATATATGTAGCAATTCTTGTATATATGTCAAATAATTTTTGAGGCACAAACTAATAATATCGATTGCCTTCCAGCTAGGCTAACTGGGTGGCTGAAGGACCAGGGGTACATCCTTTTGAATGTTTGATTTTGAAACATGCTGTGTCTAAGTTATGAGGAAGTAGGTAAGAATAATTAGAGTCAAATTTTTAAGGAGTTCTTTCTTTAAACCATAGATAGCACATGCACACACACACACTAATTAAACACGTAACATATGTAGCAGGTGTTTTCCTAGGGAAATTCTGACAGGGAGACAAACCAATCTGAATGATTCACTTGTCCTGGAGTGTTTATTTGTTTATTTAAATTAAATGAGAGTCTCCAGGACTCTGCTTAGGGATTGGTGAGCAGAGAGCTGAGCTGACCACTCTTTGTAAGACCTTTAAAACTGCTAGTGTCCATTTTGATTATTAATTTATTTATTGGTCAGTTATGGTTATCAGACTTTTTGAGTTTTGGTTTTAATTCACAATTTAAAGATACATTAGAAAATAAAGACTTTAGTGTCTTAAGTCAGAGTTTTCTGGTAGTTTACTGGAATTTTGGTTTTTGGAAAGGAATTTAGGCTAGTGATCAGTGATCTTGCCACAGGCAAGATCAAAGGAGACTGTAGGCAGTTTATGGAGAGAATATAAGTATAAAAATAATTTATTTTAATTATAGGTCTCTTGAAGAGGTTGCTCATTTAAAATTATCTACATAAAATGATTGGAGTTCTGCTGTTAGGAATTTTTATCTTCTTAAATGCCATGGCCCTTTTCTCTCCCTTCCTCCTTCCTCCTTCCTCTCTCCTTCCCGTTTCATTCTTTTCTATTTTTTGTCTGTGATTTTCTCTTTGTCTTTCATATGTTTGAATGTTATTTCTCACTGCAAAATATCACATACAATTTTTTTTCCTTTTTCCAGAGAATTAAATATTTGTTTTGAAATACTAAATTGCAAAGAGTTAAGACATGTTTCTTTGTTCTGTTGCATTTTCTTTTTGATTAATTTGTACCTAAAAAAGTGTTACTTTCACTTTTGATTATATACTGTGTATAATTATTATTAAGATTGATGTGAGTTGTCATATCTGTATAATACAGAGCATATATGGGAGTTAGTATTTCTATGTTTAGAATAGTTAAAGAAATAATTGCAGTTGCTAGTATCTTAGTAAGTGCACAGTCTCAACAGCTGTTTCCATAGTATCATTGACACAGATTGTTTATGATAATACTGCGAAAGATATTCACTCAGGAATGTGCATGAAGTTCAGAATTGTGGTTTGTTTAGGATAGTGAGTTTTTTTTTCAATAGTCAATAATATTTAGAGCTTTTGAAATTCAGTAGTTAAAAGTTTTTTTATCAAACACATAACTATACATATAGCAATCCTAGATTATTAATTTGTCATAGTCTACTTCATTTGTCCAGTGTAATTGGTTCAGTTCTGGTGGATTCTGTCCTACATTTTGGAAGATGGTTTATCTTAAAAAAAATTGGTGGAACCCCATGGCTCATTTGTGAAAAAAAATGATATGAGTTGCGGAGTAATTTAAGGCTTGCTTACAAACCATGTACCTGGTCCATGAAAACTGAAGCAGGTGCCGATTCACTGAAATGTTTATGATAAGAAGAATGTGCATGTCTTGACCAAAACATGTCTCAGGATTTTAGTTAATTTATGTTACAGATTATAGGTCAAACATACTAAGTTCAGAGGTCAGAAAGCTGCATTATAAAACAAACTTAACTTACCTTAGAGAATGTTACAGCTGGAGTATACAGCTGGGTCTGGGAGAAAGGAGGGACATTATGAAACAGTTTAAATTGGCAAAAAAGAAAAATGGAAAGCATTTGTTCATGTCTAAGTGTAATTGGTATTGATAGTAAATTAAGTACATTTTCAGCTATGTTAGACATTTAACTTTGTGACATTAAGCAGTTCTTTTCTGTCATTGTGGGGCTATTTTCCATAACTTGTTTTCTTTAGAACTTTAGAAGTCCAATTTCGTGCTTTTTCTGAAGAGTATATGGTTTCTCAAAACTCATGCAATTCTCCTTCAAATAATCTGTAACTTATTTTGTGCATTAGTTATAGCTTTGTCATTGTATCTTAGAGTCGATTATTTCAGGTTGTGTAATTCAGAATTACAGTGAGATCGAATTATATTTATAAAATGTTTAAGCTGAAGGTGTTTTTTTCTTTGCTGTAGAAAATAGAACTTCCAAAGAAACTGGCAAAACGCTATCCAGCATATGAATTATATCTTTATGGAGAAGGATCCTACGCTGAAGAACACAAAATTCTCCCTTTGACGGGTATTCCAGTTCTGTTTCTTCCTGGTAATGCTGGAAGCTACAAGCAAGGTAAGTACATTTTAAAAGGTCTACAATTTAATTCAAGAATTTGAATCACATACTTCCTCAAAAATCAGATAAAGTGAATGAAATGCTTGCTTCATGTTAAGTACTGTGTTGGGCATATATTAGGAGACTCAAATATGTGACATTTTCTCTTGAGAGAAACATGTAAGAAGTTCCTGGGAAAGAATAAAGACAAGTTTGCCAACAGTGAGGAGGAGGAAAAAGAATAAGATGGTGGGTGTAATACCTGAACGATGGACTTTCAGGAATCCATGTAGGCAACTGTTTCTGTTGGAAGTGGAAGATATAAAGAATTAGAATCTTGAAGCATTTGTTGGAGAAGGAAGATCATGGTGTCTGTTATGTTGGACAAGAGAAAAGATTTGTTTCTTCCTTTTGGAGCTGTTGGAACTAGATGTAGAGGTACTGAGGGGAACACAAGAGAGGGTAAGAAAAGCATCTGTGCAGTTTTCAGTATTATGTACAAATTACTGAGTGTTGGCTTGGAGATACTGTAGTTATTTCTCATTTAACGGTCAACAAATCTGGAAGCAATTTTCAACTAAAATCTGCTTTCTTGGTTGTTAAGTGGATGAGAATTGCTATGCAGTGACACCAGAATTGTTCCAATATGTACTATAATTACTTATATGCCTGCTATTCATCTAGCAAACATTTATGGAGTACCTACAGTGAACCAAGCAGTGTTCCTGGTATTAGGGATTCAAAACAGCCAAGACACATTGTATTTTCCTCTTTAAACTTAACATTCTTTTGGAAATGTCATCACCAATAAGATTTGTCTGCAATGTTAAAAAGCTTTTCAAAACAACAACAACAAAGAAGAGGATAGATGATGAACATTCCAGGAGTTGTCTAGTTCAGTTTAGATAGTCAGGGAGACCACTGGAAGATGACAGTTGAGCAGAGGCTTGAGTGTGACAAGGGATTGAATGTGCCTACAGGAAGACTCTGAGGCTAGAATATCCCCTGGTTAATCCAAGGCACTGTACCTGGAGAGAGTAAAGAGAAATGAGAATGGATGAGTAGCTGTAAGTTATACATCAGTTCTCCAGGAAGTCCATGAAATAATAAGTTAATTTTGGTGCCAGTTTTGAAATTGTGTATTCAAGGAATCTTCCAGAAAGTTCATGGGAAAAAGTTTAATATGAAAAAAGCTAAACTAGGCATGGATTCAAACTTTTTTGGGTACCAAAATAAACTGTACTTCAAAAATTTCATGAGAACTAAAAAACCAGTTTATTTTTGGTACATTTTTTAAAAAATATTTTCACAGATGAACTATATAATGGAAATCAGAATCCCAGAGAGTGAAGATACTCCTAAATAAAAAGAGGACTCCCAATGAAACAAATATACCCTGGCAATATGTTACTTGGTTTTCTTTGTCTGCATGTACCTGCAATGCTGTGATTGGCTTAAACAGCAAAACGCGAAGCTTGTACCTGTTCCTAAAAATATATAATAATGTAGGTATAATATCCCTATACCTACAAAACTATATCATGGAAAATAATAATGACATTAAAAAAATTAATGGTAGCCACTAGGTGGGAATGGATTACTAATACATGCCACATGTGGATAAAGCTTGAAAATATTGAGAGGTAAAAGAAGCCCATCACAAAAAAACATGTACCGTGTGACTCCTTATATAAAATTCCAGAATAGACAAATATGTAGAGACAGAAAGCAGTGCTTGTTGTTGGATTGGGACAGGTGATAGGCAGAATTTTGCTTCTGAGGTGAATAAACTCTGTCGTAACGTTAAATGTCAGAGATGGTCAGTATACTGGAGTATGTACTTTACATAGTAAGTTGTGTAATACATAAATTACCATGTCTAGTGTATTTTAAAAAATGAGAGTGGGAAACAGGCAAGAGGTGGTGGTTCTTGGATTGGGCATGAAAGGTAGAAATGATGAGAGGCCACAGTTGGGAATGCATTTGAAAGTAGAGCATGGCAGAATTTACTGATGGATTGGCTGTTATGTGCAAAAGAAGCAAGTGTGAGGATTTAAAACCCAGAATGAGCAGATATTGCTTGTGACAACCTTCTAGTTTTTAAAATCCCCAGTAAATGTGCCAACATTCTTTTTTTTTTCTCATCAAATAATACTCACTGTTCTTTTTAGCTACTGTTGCCTGTACTAAAGGGGAAGCTAGTAGAGTATGGGTGGCTTGTTTGTGTTTTATTTATTTAATTGAAAATATTTGGGGTATGTTGATTTCAAAGTGTGCAGTTGTTGTTTGCACTTATTAAACTTGTACCATTAGTGATGCTACAGTTATTTATAAAGATACTTGGAAGCAAGAATGGATGAAACTTTACAGTTTTTTGAATGTGCATTTCATTCTTCTCTACAGTTCGTTCTATCGGCTCTATTGCACTTAGAAAAGCAGAAGACATTGACTTCAAATACCACTTTGACTTCTTTAGTGTGAACTTCAATGAGGAGCTAGTGGCCCTGTATGGTGGCAGTCTTCAGAAGCAGACCAAGTTTGTACATGAGTGCATTAAAACAATTCTTAAACTCTACAAGGTAAGCAAGCAATGGTGTGGTACAACCTGTCTGTATATTTTTGTTTTTTTAAAACACTATGTGTAATTTATTTCTTTAAAAATTTATTTTAATTTACGTGAGAGGCAGAGTTAGTGAGAGGGAGAGACAGAGACAAAGTGATCTTTCCTCCACTGGTTCACTGCACAAGGGCAGGGATGGGCTAGGCCAGAGCCAGAAGCTTCTTCCAGCTCTCCCATCCTCTTGGGTCATCTTCTGCTGTTTTCCCAGGTGTAATAGCAGGGAGCTGGATTATAAATCGAGCATCTGGGACTCAGATTAGTACCCATATGGGATGCCTACATTGCAGGTGAAGACATAACCCATTATACCAGCTCTTATTCACTGTATTTTAAATCATATATTTGTTTATGTGGAAGTTGAAGCAAAGATGACCACAGACCTTTTTTTTTTTGAGGGAATGGCGAGGCAGAGCTTGGTGATGTGGACTTAATGCTGGTTTTGAAATTTAAATTTGCAAGAAACTTTACAAACTTAAATTTTTTTTTTCCATTTTATTTGAAAATTTGTGAAGAGGGAGGAAGGAAGGGAGAAGAGAAGAGATATGCCTTCTGCTCACTGGTTCATTTCCCAAAGTTTCAAAAAACCAAAGCTGGGACAGTCTGAAAACAGGCACCTGGGAAATCTGGTCTCCCATTTGGTTGCCAGTGACCTACATTGGGAAGGAGGCATTAGTATGAAGCTTAATCAAAAACAGAGTGGCAAAGACTTCAGCTAGGAACTTCAATATGGGATATGGTTGTCATATGCAGCATGTGCCAAATGCCTGCCTGGAGAAACCTTTTTTATGCTTAATTCAGAAAAATATTGTTTAACTTATATATAATTAAGGAAAACAATGTTTGCCCTAAAAGCCACTGGTATAGATTTGTGCTTCTAGCCATGATTGAGTAGCTCTTACTAGATTATATAGATTATATAGTTTAGACTGCCCGAATATATAAACAGTTATGAGACTGAGCATGATATCTTAAGTACCTATTTATGAATGTTAGCCAACCAAATAGCAAAGAACTTTGCTCCCTGCAAAAAAGTGAGTTCTGTTATTTTCATGGCTTTTTCATTAGAAGCAATTTATCAGACCATGGACAAACAGGCAGAGAGCAAGTTGAGAACATGGATACCACTGCATTGAGGAGGGCACAGAATTGGAATTTGGGATTGCTTGAGCAGCTTGATGCTCTGGGCTGTGTGAAAGAAGACCTCGAGTCAGAGTGTTGCTGTCCTGCAGCGATGGACTTGGTGCACAGAGCCGATAACAACACGTGTGGACTCTGACTGATGGTCGAAAGCCAAAGTTTATTAGGGGCATCAGACTTTATACACTGAGGGTCATATAGCATAAGGGTGGAGGTGTTGAGTTTATCAACAAAACCCATCAACTGTTTCTATACTTTTGTTTGGAACTCCTTTTGTCTTTGTATGTTCGACCAAGTGTTCTCAAACATATGCTGTCCACTCTACTGTTCTTATACAAATGATATCCAATCCGTTATACAAAAGGCATCCTTTCAGTTGTTCTCATACAAATATTATCCAATCAATTGTAATCCTGTGCTCCCTGACCTTCTAGGGTCACAATGTCCTACATCAGAGAAAGGGTTTCTAAAATCAATCAGAAAAAAAATCCTCTTTTTTACAGGGAATATCAACTAAAAATTTCCACTAATTTCTCACCAGAAATAATAAAAGCTCAGACTGGCCTTGTGATGTAGTGGGAAAAGCATCCACCTGTGACACCAGCATCCCATAGCACCAGTTTGTGTCCTGGCTGCTCCACTTCCAATCCAGCTCCTTGCCAGTGGCCTGGGAAAAGCGATGAAAGATGATCTGAGTGGTTGGGTCCCTGCTATGTATGTGGAAGGGCAGGAAAAAGCTCCTGGCTCCCAGGCTTTGAGCTGGCCCTTTGCAGGTCTTGTGGCCATCTAGGGAATCAGTCAGCAAATGGAAGGTCTCTAGCTCTCTCTTTTTTTCTTCTCTCTGTAACTTTGACTTTAAAATAAATATTTTTTAAAATTAAAGAATAATGAAAACCAAAAGCAAGACAAAGCAAGAAAACCACACAAAAGGGCTTTAATATCTTAGGGATCTTGAGATGTTTGTTTTGGGGCCTGGGGTAATGGCTCAATGAATAAATCCTTGCCTTGCATGAGCCGGGATCCCATGTGGGCACCTGTTCATGTCCTGGCTGCTCAACTTCCCATCCAGCTTTCTGCTTATGGGCTGGAAAGCAGCGAAGGATGGCCCAAAGCTTTGGGATCCTGCACCCACATGGGAAACCTAGAGGGGGCTCTGGGCTCTTGGTTGTGTTGTGACTACTTGGGCAGTGAACCAGTGGATGAAAGATCTTTCTCTGTCTCTGTAAATCTGACCGGCCTTTCCAATAAAAAAAATATATTTTTAAAATATGCTTGTATTGGGAAGAATCTTTTAACATTCCATATCTACAAAAATGTCCTTCAGAATGATTAACAATAAATTTTTATGCTAAACTGTAGTCCAGGAAAGTAAGAAGTATTCAAAGTTCTGAAATAAAATTGAAAGCCAAAAATATTATCAAAACAGATTAAATCTTTGTATCAAAAAAATACCTCCTCTACCATGTTCATGGCAGTGCTGTTGACAATAGGAAAGATATGTAATGAACTGAACCTTTATCATCAGAGAAATGGGTAAAGAAAATGTGATATATGTACACAATTGAGTAGTATTCAGCCATTGAAAGTGAGAAATCCTGTCATTTGTAGCAAAATGGATAGACCTGGAAGACATGTTAGTGAAATAAACCAGACCCAAAAAGGCATATTTTATGTGTTCTTTCCCATATATTGGAGCTAAAACAATAACCATGAAAACCAGAGCACAGAATGTTGATTACTAGAGGCTGCAAGGGGGAGGAAGGGTTAGAAGGAGCTTATCTAAAAAACTGGCAGAAGCTGGGTGAGGTGCTTCATTTGTGGCAAATATACTGCTCTACAGTATTAATATAGGGGTAGCAAGATACAGAACATGCAGAAATTCTATGAAATTTTTTATAAATTTTAAACTATCCTAAGATTTTAGAAATGAATACACATAATCAAATTTATCCTTCAGAGATGAAGAAAAATAGACCTTACAAAACAGCAAAAAAAAAAAACCTGAAAACTGAAGGAATTCATCACTCCTAGTTTAGGCCTATAAGAAATGTTTAACGGATTTCTTTATTACAAATGAAAGAATGTTGGGTCCTTGTCACCTATATGGGAACCCAGATTGAGCTCTGAGCTTCAAGGTCTGGCCTGGCCTAACTTCAGCCGTGGCAGAAATATTGGGGAAACCAGTAAATGGGAGCCCTGTTTGTCTACCTCAAAAAAAAAAAAAAAAAAAGATAATTCTAGAGATTTATATTTTATTCTTAATTTCTGCATTTGATTTGTTATGTATCCAAGGTTTTTTGCCTTAGGCTGTGGTTTTGTAATTTTTTTCTTTTATTATTTCTTGTTTGAATACCAAGTAGTATTCACCAGTGAACGTATTTGCATCCTTAGCTCTTTGTGAAGCACAACTTGTTGAAATGAATTTAATTTCTTAAATGTGTATGCAATTCAGAATTTTCTTCTCATTTTAGTTTTCTGACTTTGTGTTTTAAAGAAATGTATATATTTCATATATTGCTAAAATTATTGGCATCATTTTTTACATATTTTTAAAAAATTAAAAATAGAAGACATGTCTGCACCTCCATATTTATTGTGCTATTCAAAATAGCTAAGATACGGGATCAAGATAAGGATGCATCAATAAGTGAATGGATGAAGAAAATGTATACTTACACAACTGAAATGTTAACTCAGCCATGAAAAGCCTGAAATCCTATTGTTTGTAACAACATAGGTTCACCTGGATGACGTAATGTTAGATAAAATAACCCAGACACAGAATGTCACATGAGCTCATTATATGTAGAATCAAAAAAGTTGCTCTCAAAGAAGTTAGTATTAGAACAGTGAAAACCTGGCAGTGGGTGGGAGGTGGGGAGTTGGTAGACAGAATAGTGAGTAGTTACAATGTTACAGTTGGGAAGAAGGAACAAGTGTGATACCCTGTTGTGCAATAAGATAAGGACTGATAACAGCATTATAGATTTAATGATTTAATGCATTAAAGACCGATTATGATTTTAATGACTAAAATGAGGACTTTGCTCTCACCACAAAGCAATTGTAAATGTTTGAAGTGACAGATATGCTGATTATTCTAATCTGATCATTTCACATGGATGTGTGTCAATAAAATAAAACTTAAAAAACCAACTTGGTAATCGGATCAGAGTGTGGTATAAACACAAAAGATGTTTTAAAAGGCACTTAAGATATATATATATATATATATATATGTATATATGTATATATATTGTTTAATAAAAGAGTTTAGTTGTCAGTGAATGTTTGAAATGCTGATCTGTTGGTAAGCACTAGTATACAGAGAAAAAATTCAATAGGGTAAGAGATACCAGCATGTGAAGGAGTGTATCGCAATAGCAACCACTCTTGTCTTGACTTTTTTGATGTTGTTTTCAATTGCAAATAAATGATCTTGTTTCTTGTGTTGTGCACATTCTAATATTCTGGTTTATATCAAATACAGTTATACCTCAGATTTCATTCAGTATAACAAATAACACAAACATGATTTGCTAAATCAGGTATTCCAGTTTTGATTCAGAACACCATGATACAGCTGTTAAGAATGTTTGGCAGATTACAAAATAGCATGTATATAGTAATTGAAACTATATAAATATGTACTTTATGATGAAAGATTTAATTTTTTCTGTAACTGCTCATATGCAGGGAGAAATATTTAGTATTTTATTATGCTAAATCTTAATTATGTTATGATGGTTTTTAAAATAGGGTCAAGAATTTGCTCCAAAAAGTGTGGCAATAATTGGTCATTCTATGGGTGGCCTTGTTGCAAGAGCATTGCTCACATTGAAGAATTTTAAGCAGGATTTGATAAACCTTCTCATCACACAAGCCACACCTCATGTTGCTCCTGTGATGCCCTTAGATCGTTTCATTACGGGTGAGTACTGTTGGCATCAACACTAACCGACTTCTCCATTGTTCAGGATTAGCAAAGTAAATCTCAGCAGGTGTTCCCGCCAGGGTGCACGGCAGATTTATCCACGTGTACAGTGTCTCAGTTGCAAGTCAGCTCTGAATAACCCATATCTTTCAACTTAGGCTTATAATTGAAACTACTCTTAGTTTCCTCTATGAATAGCTGCTTAACGTGTTTGACACGTGGTTTGTAATCCCTGGGTAACAGAACGTCAATTTTGTTTTTCCTAAGGGTAATTCCAAGTTTCTTAAGATGGGCTTAAACTTCAGTGCTGTTAACTGTTTCAGTACATGTCCCAAATAAGCTTATATTTAAATAAAATAGTAGCAATCTCTAGCTTTTATTTTAAACTTGTATTTATTTATTTCAGAGGCAGAGACAGTGTTTTTATCTGTTGGCCAGTCTCAAATTCTAATAGTGCGTGGGGCAGGGCTGGACTGAAGCAGAGCTGGGAACTCAAACCGGATCTCCCACAGGGGTGGCTGGAATGTAGTCACTTCAGCCGTCACTGCTACGTTCCAGGGTACACGGTGGCTGGCACCAGAAATTGAAACCAGATACGCTAACCTCAGACATAGGAGTCTCAGCTGTTTGGTTAACCACTTGCTCCAGTGTTCAGATGAATAGATGTTTAATGCTCTTTCTTAATTACTAATATAATATGCAATATAATTCCTGAAACTGAGACAGAATTATAAATATTTATTGGGGCATTAAGAACTTTATGTAATTCTCTCTGCAGTTGTCTGATAGAAAAAAAGAACCAATGTAAAATTCTGGCCCAGTGTCATTCAGGCAGAAGGGAGTGGAGTCAGTATTTGCCCCTGGCTTACTTACTACTGGGGCTGTCCTGCCTGTTAATTGAGGAACATTGATATAACATAGGAAACAAAGCTGGGGCTAATACTATCATGTTGTGGAGAGTATTGAAGGAAAATAGGGACTTGTACCTGATATCATATAATTAAATAATCAGTACAGTGTTATCTTTATTGCTTCTAGAAGTATTGTATGAGCAGGGGAAAAGATAACTAAAAGTAACTTCCTCATCAGTAAACGTACATTTATAACCTAACAAAATTTGTATCATCGTTATTTTTATAAAAATTTTCCTTGTAGTTAGGTTAGAAATATCCCCTAGTAACTATACATCAAAATAGTTTTCCAAAATGTCCCTAACATTAGTAATGCTGGCAAAGAAATTCATTTGCTGGAAATACCTGATGCAACAGTATTAACTGTGGAGTATAATTTTTCAGTTATTTACACTTAAAATTTTGCTTGTATAAAATCTTTTAATTTTTAATGAAGTTATTTAAATGACAACTGCTGCTAGTAATTGTGATCATAGATTTAGAAAAATAATTAAATGTTAAAAGTAAATTTTAAAACATTCTTTGTGAGGTGAACTTTTAGTAAAATCAGGTTTTACTATTTTGAAGGCTGGTGATGCTCAGGTGAAAGTGATTTTTAGGGTCAGGCCAAAAGTGATTCTTAAGTACAGGGCACCTTTCTTGTGATTAGTTAGCCTCCTTTTTTCTTGTTTTGTATTTATTTTTCATTTCTTTAAGTCAGGATAGAATGAAAAAAAAATTTCAGAATGCAGGATTCATCTGACCTTCAAAAGTCGATTCCCTGTTGATAACCATAGCTGGAGATAATACTTAAACAGAGGGAAGAAGGTCCTTTCTTGGGTTCTGCACTTCAGAGAACTGCTCTGGCCTGGCCTTTCTCCACAGGGCGAGGGCTCCCCATTTGTACCTTATGCCACTACTTTTAGACTGTGAGCCAGGTAAGCAAACTTCCATGATTTTCTTGCTTGTGAGCCCAAGCCCACTTGCAGGGCGTTTGTGTGCTTCTTAGCTGGCCTGGTTCTTCTGAGGGCAGGTAGTCCTGTTCCTAACTTTGAGTTGTGGCCACTGGCTGACTCTGCAGAAACTACAGACAGTGTTAGGAGTCTGCGAATGAGATAAGGGAGTGGGGCTAGTGCAGTAGGAGATCTCTACCACCTTCATTGTCCATTGGTCAACTCTGAGTACCTGAGAAGTCCTAACTTCAATCTGTCTTAAAGATTATTTCAGTGACATATTTGTCACAGTAGGAAAAGGAAACATACTTACCAGTTTGGTGGTAGGATTTTTAACTTTAGACTGTTTAGACATTTGACCTGTAGGCTCTATTGGTACTCCTGCTCCAAGCCCTCCAAGTGTTAGAACCCTGTCAGCTTGATAGTGGTCTAAGTTAAGTATTGCTGAGAACTTTCATAAGAACAGCTTGATGTGCCCATGGTGCTGGGATGAAAAGCCATTCATATTTGATAAGTAGGATAAGAAATGAGAACTTCAGTTAAGTATTGGTTAAAAATTCAGTTAACTGTTATACATAGTGTACTGCATACTTTTCAATGTCTCTATTTTTTATTTCCTACCAGATTTTTATATGACTGTAAACAACTATTGGATTCTAAATGCTCGACACATAAATCTAACCACACTTTCTGTAGCTGGAGGGTTCCGGGATTACCAAGTTCGTTCAGGACTGACCTTCCTACCAAAATTAAGCCATCATACCAGTGCCTTATCTGTTGTGGTAAATATTTTCTTTTTACAATCCTACTGAATAAGTCATAATGGACATAGGAAACATGAAAGGGAAAGTCATAGGCACTGTTAAGTTGGTGGTGTAGGCTGGCTGCTTGTCCATGCATGTGTGTGAGAAAGAGATGGGATGTGAGTGAAGGAATATGACTGTTGAGAAGGTAGCATTGTGTATGTTTATAACCGTAGAAAGAGGATTTAAGCACTTTAGTGGAAATTACTTCTATTTTTAAGGAGTAATCATTTCTTGTGTAGCTGTAAGTGTTCAACCATATATAGAAGTAATTAATGTCAAATCTATCACATAGTCCTGAGCACTAAACTTGAGTGAAGATTTGCCCATTTAAAAATATTTTGCTTTGGTGGCATACTTTTAAGAGCCCTGATTAACCAGTTAATCAAGTTATTGTTAGTCACTCTTCCCTGCCAGGATATCAAGTATTTGATCTTTAACTGGTTTATGCAGCCTATGTAAAATGAATTCAAGTTAGGACTGCTTTCTAGTGTATTTAACTAAGTCTTCAATTCATATCTTGATTCAGTATACACATCACCTTCAAATATAAGTTAGTTTACTTTCACGAGGGAAAAATCAGCAGAATGGCATAACTGCATTCCTTTTGGTTTTGGGAGATGATGCTAGGAAGTCACTGTCCCATTCCTGTTCATTTTCATGCACATTTCTTTGTTCATTTTATCTTCTGCTAGCTCACCATAGATCACTGTTCATTTACTAAATAGGCATTTACTGAGCTGTGCTATGTATGAAGAAAACTTGCTAAGCCATTCTGCTGTTTGGCATCATTGTTTAAGTTCTTAAACTACACACTAACACTTCAGTCGGCTAAGATGGCTTCATCATGTAAAATCATATATACCTTATGTTTCAGCCTGTCCTGGAGGATGTTGCTGCCACATCCTGAAGCTTACATTTGAAGGAACTTTAAAAAAGCTCTTCAGTCCTATTTGTGCTTTTTCCTGTTTTCTCTAACGCCTTTCATAATGTGTTACTTTGGGGAAATGTGTATTTCTAAATCTCTGATGAAAATCTGTTGTTGATGGGACATCCTCAATACTCCGTATTTTCTAATCTGAGTTTTGTGGTTTCAGCACTCAGATAATATGCTGTCTGTCTGTCTTAGTTCTTCATGCATGCTGACTCTTAATAAGTTATGATTCAGGAGTAGCAATTTTTTTTAAAGATTTATTTATTTTTATTGCAAAGTCAGATATACAGAGAGGAGGAAAGACAGAGAAAAGATCTTCCATCTGATGATTCACTCCCCAAGTGAGCGCAACGGCCGGTGCTGCGCCAATCCGAAGCCAGGAACCAGGAACCTCTTCCGGGTCTTCCACATGGGTGCAGGGTCTCAAAGCTTTGGGCCATCCTCGATTACTTTCCCAGGCCACAAGCAGGGAGCTGGATGGGAAGTGGAGCTGCTGGGGTTAGAACCGGCACCCATATGGGATCCTGGAGAGTTCAAGGCAAGGACTTTAGCCGCTAGGCCATGCTGCCGGGCCCCAAGGAGTAACAATTTTTGAAAAACTATCTTAAACAATTATATGACATTTATATTCATTAGGAGTAGAAAAGTGATTTAACTTAATGACTGTAACTGTATTACTAAAATAGGCTCAACTGTGTGGTTTTTCCCTGTGTGGTTTTTCCAGCATGTCTTATTGAAGGTCCAGGCTGACAGTTGGCACTGTGTCTTGCTGTCATCATTACTACAATGCAGGAAAGAGCATAGGAGCAACATGTCATTGCTGTTCACATGGTCTTAGAGAAAACTCAGTTGCATCTTTCTTTTGTTATTTTTTTTGTTTTCACATTATTATCATTTTATGATATAGTTCCATAGACTCTAAGATTTCCCATACCCCACCCCTGAACCCCCTGCCCACTGAGTTCTTCCATATCATTACAAAAGCATAATTCCTCATAAACAGTTGTAAGCCCATCATTGCAGACATGTAGAGTGGCAGAGTCCAGCAGCCCATTGTCAAGACACACCCAACAGTTGCATTGGGAGTCCATCCTTGATCTGGAAGTAGAGATGCACACTCTACTGTATCCTCACATCTGGACCATCAATCCCTACTATAGAGTCGCTAAAATCCCCTCAAGTGGAAAGCTGCAAAACAAAACCAACAACAGGAAGCAAAACAGAACTTTACAATGCCGTAAAGTTAGACAGCATGCCACTTGATGTAATAGTCCCCATTACATAGTTACTGTGTATCTCCTTAAAAGCCACAAAACAAAATCAACAACAGAAAGAAAAATAGAAATTAAAAGGCCATGAAGTTGAATAACCTGATACTGATTGACTAAAGTGTCACTGAAGAAATGAAAAAGAAAAGGCAGCTAAAGTCCTCACTTGGAACGTGCTATGATCCCATATATGCATCAGTTCTAATCCCAGTGGACCTCTTCACATCCAGCTCCTTGCTTGTGGCCTGGGAAAGCAGTAGAGGTCTACCTGAAGCCTTGGGACCCTGCTCCCACATGGGAGACCCGGTGGAGGCTCCTGGCTCCTGGCTTTAGTCGGTTCAGCTCTAGTCGTTGCAGTCACTGATGGAGTGAATCATTGGATGGAAGATCTTCCTCTCTGTTTCTCCTCCTCTTTGTATAACTGTTTGCAATAAAAATAAATAAATCTTTAAAAAACAAAGAAAAAGAAGATCAAGAACCTTCTTAAAGAAAATGATGGTTCTATATGGCCTATGAGATATTGAAGAGTTTAATGAGAAAAAAAAAAAAACTGTTTAGAACAAATGAAACCAAACCAAAAGCATCAAAAACCATGAGATATAGTTTCTGCTGATCGTTGTTGGTGAAATGTGTCTTGTGTAGGCAACAGGTAGATGGGTTTGTATGTTTATTTCAGTCTACTCCTCTATGAGATTGATGAGTTTAAGTCATTTATGTTCAGGCTTACTATAAATAAGTGGTAATTTGGTCCTGTCATTTTAGCAATAGTTTGTTCATTGATTTTGTCTTCTATTATTATTTTACCAGAATTTTCTTCACATTTGCCTTTGTGTTTGGTGGATGCTTTTGCTTTTCTCTGTCAAGGGAGCATCTTTAGGTATCATATGTAGGGCAGGTTTGGAAGAGGCAAACTCTTTTAACTTTTCTTTGCTGTGGAAGTATTTTATTTCATTTTCATTTACAGAGGAAAGCTTTGCTGGGTACATTGTCCTTGGCTGACAATTTTTTGCTTTTAGAATCTGGAATATGTCATTCCATTCTCTTCTGGCCTGTAGAGTTTCTTCTGAGAGATGTGAGCTGTGAGCTTGACTGGCATTCCTCTATATGTCAATTGATTTTTTTTCACATGCACATTTAAACATCTTTTCTATATGTTTGATTGAAGAGAGCTTGGTTATCACAAGTTGTGGTTAAGATCACTTTTTTTGGTTCTGTGCCTCACCTGTATGTTGTTTCTCAGTTCTTTCTCTAGATTAGGGACATTTACCTTTATTGTTTCACTAAGTATACCTTTAATCCCAGCTTCTCTTTCTGCACTTCTGGAACTTCCATAACTCTTATATTTGGTCTTTTAATAAAGTCTTTCAATTCTTGAATACTTTTTTTGGTTGACCCAGTTCTGCTTTCAGATTTTTGTTTGTTTCCCCCTTGTGACAGGAAATATCTTCCAACTCTGAGATCCTTTCTTCTGCTTCCTTCATTTTATTATTGAGACTTTCCCCTGAACTTTAATTTGGTGTATTGCATCATTCATTTCCAATAATTCTGCTTGATTTTTGTTTCAGTGTTGCTATTTCCTGTTTTACATATTCCTTAAATTCCTGTATTACATGCTTCTTGTTGTTGATAAGAAGCCTTATAACAAGAGTTTTGAATTCTGTATACCCCATTTTCTCGATGTATTCCTCAGTGAACTCTGAGGTTGGCAAAGGCTTTTGCTCCTTTGTAAGGGAGTCTTCAGTAATATTCATAGTGTCTCTGTCTCTTTGCACTTGGTCATTTTACTTCTGGTTAGCAGATTCTTCTCCTTGGGGCAGGTTTCTAAACTGGTTCTACTCACATGTCTACAGTTTGATTTTACTTCTTGTGGTTGATACATGGCTCTTTGTTTGCAGTCATTTGTGCCACTCCAACAAGTTTGAAATCTGGGCTCTTATGTTAGACTTCCACAATGGTCTCTGTAGCCCCAGGTACTGGTCCCCACTCTACCTCCTGTGATCCTGTGCTATTGTTGCACCATGGTTTGTACAAGGTTTCTCCCACTTCTGGTTTGAGCAGTGCCCAGGACTGTGGAGACACCAGCTTCCTAAATAGCTAGGTAATAGGCAGCGCTGTTCCTACTAGAACGTGCTGGCCATTAGGTCTGAGGGCCACACAGACTACTTTGAGTCGTAAGCTGCCAAAATTGGTATTATTTTCAGTTGGGACCAGTGCAACGCACTGAGGTCTAAATGAATTCACTCCCAGGTCACTGTAAGCTCAGCTCACTGTTGTCCCTGTAGTCTCAAAGTCTTTGCTGCACTTTACAAAATGGCACTTGATATGCTACTGTTTGAGTTCTGGATCTGCTGGTTGTTATGTCTGTGGGCTACCTGCACTTATTTTGGGTGGAACCTGTATGATGCAGTGTCATCGCCATTTACTTGCCCTGAAATGAGTTCACTCCCAGCTTAGTGCATGCAGAGTCCTGTCCCTATCTTTTGCCTCCTTACACAAGATAGCACCAGATTCAGTGCTAGTGGAGTCTGGGCTGTGAAATCCACCCTTCCTGCACTGCCTGTTTGGGATCTGCTGCTCTGTTTCAGCTCCTGGTCAAATCAAACAAACCAACAGGACAGATGGTTCTTTGTCTGGGTTCATGTGCTGAGCTCCTGGGGAATGTCCCTTCACATGGTAGTCTGGTGGAGTTCAGATCACCACTGGCTTAATGCCGCTGGGATGTCTTGTCACTGCAATAGCATCCCATTGTCTCCACTGCTTTCCTGTGTCCAGCAGGCTCCGGGTGCCCCTCTGATATCAGGCTGTCCTTTCCTATTTCCTGGAATGTGCCCTTTCTACTTCACCATGGCTAATGTTTCTCCGTCTGTTAAAACATGTCCTCACCCTATTCCACCATCTTGAATCTCCCTCAGGCTGGAGAGGTGTGGGTTCCCCAACGGCACAAAAAGGGATTTGGATGAACATCAGCAGTTTTCATCACAGCAGTCATGAACAGCTCTTTTTGTCTGTGTCTGAGTGTTACCTTTCTTTTTTTAACTCTAGCCCACATATACTAAACTAATTGAAAGTTGACCTTTTTTAATATTACTGATAATGGTATATACTGTCTACTGGCACGACTTCCTCAACTTAACATCTCCCAATCCATAGTGAGATGAAGTAAGGCATCAGCAATAATTTCTAAATATATCAGGTGCTTATATAAGTTTAACAAGCAAGCTCTAGATTCTTTTCAGAAACTGGAAGCCAGAGGCACATTATTTATAGAATACAAGGATGATGAAAATCCTTAGAAGCTGCACATGTTTTTTACTAGTTCGTTTATTAAGGAAATTCAATATAGGGGGAGGGCTTTTTGGAGGGGTTAGGGGAATCCCAGAGCCTATGAAACAGTGTCAATAAATGAAATTTAAAAAAAAAAAGAAATCTGCAAATGATCTTATTTTTTCAGGAGTGTTTTGCTCTATGGCTCTAACCAGTAGTATACATACTAATTAGAATCCTTGTTCAAAGTAAGCAAGCATGGATTACACTCAGTAGTTTTAAAATTGTGATCAGATATAATTTTTAAAAAATCTTTCTAGGTTTAAATGTTTTTCAGACATACCACTGATTAAGAGTTAACATATCAGGCTCTGTTAAATGATAATGAGTCAAAACTGAAATTATTGAAATAGCCATTATAACTCACATTAACCAGTGTTGTATCAAAGATTCTTAAATTCTACCTCTTACTAATTAATAAGTTAAACGTTAAACTAAAATGCAGAGTCTGATGGTGTGATAGTAATGTTAAAGATAATTTAAGCTTGATTGGCCCATAATGCAATTTAGGAATAGCTGCGGTAGTTTAAACAGGAAGTAATATATTTTTACATATTATAGTGAAATTAACATGTTTATCAATACTAGATTGAGTTTTTAGACCTTTTGGTGAATAAAAATTGTTGTCTTAAGTTGATTTTTTTTCTTTCTTGTTAGAGTTCAGCAGTGCCTAAGACCTGGGTCTCAACAGACCACCTCTCCATCGTATGGTAAGTTGTTCTAACTTATTTTATTGATATGATGTACTCTTCTCTCATCAGTGTATTAATTGGCTCATCAGTTTTCTTAGAACCTGTGCACAAATATTTAACTTTGTGGAAAAATGATTATCTCTGGAACTTAGAGCTGTAACTTCACTTCTTAGATTGACAAGGATCTGCTTTCAAATCTTTCATCTCACTTCCTAAAGATTTGGTAGCATTGATCTAAAATGAAGCTAGCATCAAATAGCAAACGTCTAGATTTTGTCAGAGATGGGCAGGGTTAAATGTGCCCCTAGGAAGGCTGGCTGGTCACCTTGCCTGGGAATTTAGTTAAAGTAGCAGTAACTGTTTGAGGTAGCAACACATGGAAAACTTAGAATCAATTAGAAAGAGCTACTCTTAATGTGAATGATCAAATATGGATCAAAACTAGGCAGACTGGTGTTCATATCCATATATTGCGGCTGAAAGATTCCCTTTTGATGTTTCTCTGCCCTTGCCAGCAGTAGTGTCTAAAGAAATGCAATAATTTGGGGGCAGATAGTATATCAATAGCCAGGAGATTTAGGGAAGACAGAATGAACTGAAAATTCTACTTCAAATGGACTGGAAATTTGTTTCATTTTTGTGAGTGTGAATTTTAAGATTCATTCTTTTTTTTTTTTTTTAAGATTTAGTTATTTTTATTGGAAAGGCAGATATACAGAGTGCAGGAGAGACAGGAAGATCTTCTGTCCAATGGTTCACTCCCCAAGCGGCCACAACAGTTAGAGCTAAGCCAATCCAAAGCCAGGAACAGGAGCTCTTCCGGGTCTCCCACACAGGTGCAGGGTCCCAAGGCTTTGGGCTGTCCTCCACTGCTTTCCCAGACCACAAGCAGGGAGCTGGATGGGAAGCGGGGCTGCCAGATTTAGAACTGGCGCCCATATGGGATCCTGGATGTGCAAGGCGAGGACTTTAACCACTATGCTATCACGCTGGGCCCAAGCTTCATTCTTCATGTTTTATTTAATTTTTGATTGTTCAGCATTAAAATAAATGAAAATATTTCATTAAATAATAGACTTATGTATGTTTGGATCAAAAGTATATGGTTTAAGGAAGTTTCATTTGTAACATTTATTCTGTAGGTGTAAACAGTTGCAATTGACTACAATTCGAGCTTTCTTTGATCTTATTGATGCAGATACTAAACAGGTATGTATTTTAAACTAAAAATTATTTCAACAAAGTGAAAACTTTTGTTTTAACAGTTATAAAATTAATGCATCTTTGTTTTACTTTGATGAAAATGAAAGTTTGTATTATAGATATTTAGATTAGTTCCAAGATGTAATATTTTACATTCTTGTCTGATAATATTGTGACTACTGCTAATAATTCATAGAATATAGTGTAAAATGAAAAATTTTCCCTCAATTCTTCTGTTTCACTATTTAAAATTTGATATATCTCTTTTTGTTTTTAATTAAGGGAAATACCAGCTATTTTTATAATATTTTTTTCTCAGTAATGTAAATGTCATCATCTCATTTGACATTTTAAACCATGTTTCTTTTTTTAACAATTTTATTGGAAAGAGATTTACAGAGAGGAGAGACAGAAAGATCCTCTATCTGCTGGTTCATTCCCCAAGTGGTTGCAACAGCTGCTGCTGAACCAATTCAAAGCCAGGAGTCACGAACTTCCTCAAGGTCTCCCATGCAGGCACAGGGTCCCAAGGCTTTGGACCATTCTCCACTGTTTTACCAGGCCCCGTGCAGGGAGCTGAAAGGAAGGTAGAGCATCCAGGACATGAACTGGCACTCTTATGGGATCTCAAGCACAAGCAAGTGAGGATTTTCGCCACTGAGCCATCATGTTGTGTCCAACCATGTTTCTTTTTAAAAGTGGCCTCTGTGGTCCCGGCACAGTAGCCTAGCAGCTAAAGTCCCTGCCTTGCATGTGCCATACAGATGCCATATATGTGCCAGTTCTAATCCCGGCAGCCCCACTTCCCATCCAGCTCCCTGGTTGTGGCCTGGGAAAGCAATGGAGGATGACTTAGGATTTTGGGACCCTGCACTCATGTGGGAGACTCAGAAGAGGCTCCTGCCTCTTGCCTTCAGGTCGGCACAGCTCCAGCTGTTGTGGCCGCTTGGAGAGTGAATCAACGGATGAAAGATGCCAGAGTCCTGCTCCATCCAAGTTTGGAGCTCGAGAAGGGTGTATGGAGTCGGTGAAGAGACACAGGCACTGTCGCTTGATGCCCTCTGCTAACAGCTCCAGAAGCTATCCTTTTTATTTTCTCAGACATATCACAAGCCTCTGCACAAATGTTTGATTGTACTATTTTTACTTCATGACTAAGTGGATATGCACAGATGTTTGATTATTTTATTTTTTCTTCATGGTCAACCAGGTGCTCTTAAAGATAACTCTGAAAGTTGCCATAGTGATTTTTGTCAAAGCAAGCCATTATTCATTCTTGAGTAGTACACGTTGGACGACAGCCAGGGCTCCAAGGCCAAGGCCATGTGATTACCTACTAATCAGTAATACATTCCTACTACACGTCTGTTTCCACAGCTTGCCCATCATTTAATGGGAGAAATATGTCACAAAGGCAAAAAATATATAGAAGTCCAAGATAAAAGTTTCAAATATTGAATCCCCCTACAATTACAGGCTCTATAACCCCATAAACAAACAAACAATACTTAAAAGCATATCTCCATAATATTAATAAAAGCATCCTTTAATTCCTCTAGCCAAAAATTATATAAAAGGCTAAAACAGATACATATTCTGTGATCCAAAGAAATTACAAAGACAGCTAACCTTTAAGGTCACAGTAACTGTACTTGTCGCCATAGCAGTTTCAGCTCATACTCCCACCACTTTCACTAATTTTTTAGAATATTTATCAAGCCATTTCCTAGAAACCTTGCCATGTGTCTGAGCCAGATTCTGGGGCAATCGGTAGGCACACAATAAGGTGTCCAGAAACAGTATGTGTGCAAATTGTCAAAGGCCCTCTCACCAAGACATTATCAGCAACATTAATTCCCAAGCTCACATCAGTCCCAAAAGGCATCTTACAGGAGCAAACAACAATGCTTCAATAGATACAGAATTCTTAGTGGTGTGGTTGAGTGTCCATGCAAAAGGAGGTGAGACTACATCAAGGTGGTCGGAGAGACATCCACTGGGCCTTGCCAAACAGCTGGAAGCTCCTCTTGGCCTTGCCAAACAGGGTAGCTGTTCTCTTCACACCTTCGTATCATCCATATCCACTGCACAGACCCTAGCAGGAAGATCTTCCTTCCTGTCTCTCCTCCTCTCTGTATATCTGACTTTCCAATAAAAATCAAATAAATCTTAAAAAAATTTTTTTAAGTGGCTTTAGCTTTCTGATAAGATAAAGAGATGTATGTGCATTGGATAACCCGGGCTCATGATAACTTAAATTATGCCCTTCTATCAGTGGGGTTTTTGTATAATTTCATGCTATCAGCTCTTCAGAGTACCCATTTTGCAAGTTGTTAAGTTAGCTGAACACCTGGAAATCATAGTGTCTTTTATAAAACACCATGTCCCCCTTTCAGCTATGTCTTGTCTACCAACAAGTACGTACTTACCAGGTTCGAAGGATCTCGGTGGCATTCAGAGAATCCTACTCATGAACTGGAATGTCTTTTTTTTTTTTATTTGAAAGGTTTATTTATTTTTATTGAAAGGCAGATGTACAGAGAGGAGGAGAGACAGAGAGGAAGATCTTCCATCCGATCCTTCACTCCCCATGCGACCACAACGGATGGTGCTGAACCAATCCGAAGGCAGGAGCCAGGAGCTGTTCCAGGTCTCCCACGCGGGTGCAGGGTCCCAAGGCTTTGGGACATTCTCCACTGCTTTCCCAGGCCACAAGCAGGGAGCTAGATGGGAAGTGGAGCAGCCGGGATTAGAACCGGCACCCATATGGGATCCTGGGCGTGCAAGGTGAGGACTTTAACCACTACACTATCACGCTGGGCCCATGAACTTGAATTTCTTTTCTGTGAGTTGGGAGCAAGGTGTATTATTTCTTAAACATTTTTTTTCCACCTCAGGCTATCATGCATTATATCACTGTTTCATGGAAATATATTTTAAAAGTTGTTGCCCTGGCTTCTCAGTTATCTTCTTCTTTGTGGCAAAATATTACAGTCCAAGTATTTTTGGAGTCTTTGTCCTGAAACTCCAGCTCTTTGACAGATCATAAGCGTGACATCTCAGTAGTTCTCTAAGCAGTGTGTTCCTTCTTACCGTGTCTTAGAACTTTTTCACTTTCTTGAGAAGTAGGGAAAAGTGTCTGTTTCTTCCTAAAGTCTCAGAGAGTGACGTAACTGCTATTAAAAGAATTACAATTCTTATCTCTCTTTAGAGGATCCAAGTAATTGTGTTTTACCACATCATAAACCACAAAATTTCATGTTAAGATATCTTTAAGGAAGTATATAGACTTTATGGGGTTGACAATGTGATGTGGTTATGAAACACACTTTGTTGTTTTATTGATATTGTTTTAGTTGATAAGTTTGACTATGGCTAAAATATTTTAAATTTACTTGAGCAGAGCCTGGCGTGATAGCGTAGGGGTTAAGGTCCTAACCTTGAATGCCCCGGGATCCCATATGGACGTCAGGTCTGATCCCGGCAGCTCTACTTCCCATCCAGCTCCCTGCTTGTGGCCTAGGAAGGCAGTCGAGGATGGTCCAAAGCCTTGAGACCCTGCACCCGTGTGGGAGACCGGAAGAGCTCCTGGCTCCTGGCTTTGGATTGGCTCGGCTCTGCCCGTTGGTCGCTTGGGGAGTGAACCATTGGACGGAGGATCTTCTCTATCTCTCCTCCTCTCTGAATATCTGCCTTTCCAATGAAAATAGATAAATCTTTAAAAAAAATTACTTGAGCAAGTACAGTTAATACAGGAATAGAATCAAAATTGAAAGAGCAGTTTTATTTGAACCAGTATTTGGTGACTTTATTCTGACCAATGAAGAAGTACTTCAGCCATGTATATTCCTTTACAAATTGTACATAAAGCCAGTTTTCATAGGTAAAAATCATGTTTTCTGGTAACACATGAGAACTCAAATACACAGGTAAATTTTAGTCTCAATACATGTTTTACAGACATGTTTTTAGGAGCAAAATGGAAATATTGAGTAACTACACTGCTTAGAATCACAATACACTACTGTTTATGAAACTGAGTTCCACTAAATATACTCACAACAGCTGGTTCTTTGTACATCTGTACTTGGGGATGTAACTATCCACAGATTGAAAATCTTTGCAAAATGTTTCATCTCAAGCATGTTTTGTTTCTCCCAAAAATAGCACAACTGTTTACATTGTGTTTGAATTGTTTTGGATATTATAAATAACCTAGAAATGATTCAAACGAAGTGGAAGGAATTTATAGATTATATGCAGATACCGTGCAATTTTATATAAGGGAAGTTTTTTTTTTTTTTTTTAAGATTTATTTATTTTAGGCCTGGTGTGGTTAACTAGTGGTTGAAGTCCTCATCTTGCATGTGCAGGGATCCTGTTTGGGCACTGGTTCATGTCCTGGCTGCTCCACTTCCCTTCCAGTTCCCCTTGTGGCCTGGGGCAACAGTCAAGGACGGCCTAAAGCCTTGGGACCCTGCACCCGTGTGGGAGACCCGGAGGAGGCTCCAGGCTCCTGGTTTGGATTAGTGCAGCTGTGGTCATTGTGGCCAATTGGGGGGAGTGATGCAGCAGATGGAAGATCTTTCTGTCTCTCCTTCTCTCTCTAAATGTGATTTTCCAATAAAAATAATTAAATCTTGTTTATAAAATATTTATTTTACCTGGAAGTCAGGAATACTGGCAGAGATGAGAGATGGAGTGATCTTTGATCTGCTGGTTCACTTCCCAAATGGGCATAATAGCCAGAGCTAAGCTGGTCCAGACCTGAGAGCCCAGAGCTTATTCCAGGTCTGCTACAAAGCTGCGAGGGCCCAAGGCCTTAGGGTCTCCTCAGTTACTTACACAGGCCACTAACATGAAACTAGATTGGAAGTGCTCAACTGGAAATCGACTAGTGCTCATATGGCATGCTGGTGCTACAAGTAGAGGATTAGTCTACAGCTTCATTGCTTTTTTGTTTTTGTTTGTTTGTTTGTTGCTTTTTTAAATTGGATTTGCCCATATTCTATTTTTTAATATTTGTAAATTTTATTTTGAATTTTGAATTATGTGGTACAATTTCATATAGGCTGGGATTCACCACCAAGCTTCCCTCCCCCCGACAGATTTTCCTCATTTTACTACAATGGGGTAGTCCTTCATAAGGAATCATAATTCTATCAGTCTCTTTAAATGTATCCCGACATTGTTGGTACAGACAATGCTACACAGTCCAACGTCCCATGTCCAACGGTTTCACTGGGAATCCATCTTTCGTTGTTTTGACCCTGGGGACTGTTTTCTCCTTGGGCTCTTGGAATCAGTTCCCCACATATACTAAGAGATGACTATATTTAATGCTCTGCACTAAATTATAGAAAATAAAGCATTAGAGTGTGATTTTCAATAATAAGAAACATGCAATCCAAGAGAACAGAATGTACATAGAAAATGTAACTTGGAGCTTAATTAATCCCAAACATGTTGTACCAAGAATTTTAAATGTTTTTAGTGGGTATCAGAATAAAAGTTGTAACTCAAAGCTTATGTGAGAATTACCTAGAGAAGTAAAGATGATACTGTCTTGACTTAACAAAATTTTAGATTTTTCCTTTTTTAAAAATTTCAAGTTAATCTAAAAGGTAAGAAACTCACAGATGCACAAGGGACATGTTTGGGGTGGAGTTAGTCAGGAGGGGAAAGGTGATAGAGAGAGAAATATTTCTGCCTTCCATTCTTGGTGTGAAAAGAGAGATCACCACCTGCTCCTCGCCCCATGCATACACACACGATGCTCAATGCTCGTCTTCATGTGACCTTTTTTTTTTTTTTTTTTTTTAAGAATTAACACATGAGTTTATTTTGGTGCAAAAACATTTGAAGTCCGTGCATTTCTTTTTGGGTAATACCCATTTCCTCCCAATTTTTTTTCATATGATATTGAGAAGAGTAGTGGGTTCATGGTTTCTTGATGAGAAGTCTTTCCTGGGAAGGAGTCATTTGATTGATAGCTGGTGGGATTTACAAAGAACAGGTGGAGTGCAGATTCGTCATGTCTTGTTTGTGTAGTTACTTCCTGCTGATTAGGGAAGTAGGGCTGTCCTGCGTTCAGAACCCTTTCTGTCTTGTCTGATGAATCCCTCTCACAAGCCAGGTAACTTCCGTTCATTGCCAGTGGCTGTGTCCTCTGCTGCTTCATCATTACTCTGAGATATTGCTGTCTTTGCACAAGAGTCAGCAATGTAGGGCCTGGTGTGGTAGCCTAGTGGCTAAAGTCCTTGCTTTGTATGCACTGGGATCCCATATGGCACTGTTTTTTTGTGCCAACTGCTCCACTTCCCATCCAGATTCCTGCCTGTCATCTGGGAAAGCAGTTATAGGCTATAATATTATATAACTATATTGCACACTGGTATAATTAACAGATGGCATAAACTAGGCCCAGAATGCCATCCAGCTATGGGCTACTTTTCTCCCAGCAGTATAACACTTGACCAGGGATAAGACAACCTAGGCAGTTGCTTAAGTGAAAGTTTTGCTGTAAAGATTTATGCTTCTAATTGATGTGGTAGCTTTAACAAGTCAAGCCAATTCGCTCTAAGAACAAGTTGATTATAGAGGTTGAGTCAATGAATATGTAAATTCCACCATCCTCTTTAGTTATACCATATCTAGTAGTATCGAGTATACTACTCTGTGTACCCTGTTTTAAGGACATCAGCAAACATGAGTTTTTCTAGCATTCTATCAGAATGGCAAAGGAATTAACTTTAAGAAGTTAGTTAGGGTCTGGTGCAGTAGCCTAATGGCTAAAGTCCTCACCTTGTATGTACTGGGATCCCATAAGGGCCCCAATTTGTGTCCTGGCTGCTCTATTTCCCACCCAGCTCCCTGCTTGTGGCCTTGAAAAGCAGTCTATAACAGCCCAAAGCCTTGGTACCCTGCATCCATGTGTGAGGCCCAGAAGAAGCTCCAGGTTCCTCGCTTTAGATTGACTCAGCTCCAGCCATTGTGGGGAGGTGAACCAGTGGATGGAATATCTTTCTGTCTCTCCTCTCTCAATCTGTCTTGCCAAGAAGAACTAAATACATTTTTAAGAAAAAAGTGTATTTGTTACACAGTAGTTAAGATATGGAACCATCCCAGATATCCACCAACTGATGAGTGGATAAAGAAAATATGGTACATGTACATTATAGAATACTACTCAGCCCTGGTAAAGAATGGAATCTTACTGTTTCCAAAAAATGGACTCAGCTGGAAACTGTTATACTTAGTGAACTAAGCCATTCCCACAAAGACAAATATCTTATGCTCTTCTGATTTGTGATAATACACAGAACATAGAAATGTAATCTCTGTATGTAAGATTAACAAGCTGAGAATTAACTGCTGTATCAGCAAGTGTATATTCATGAATAGTAGTAGACTTGTTTGTAATCTAGTTTGCTTTTATTATATGTAGTTTTTTTCTCCTTGCTCTATTTACTGTATCATATTACCTTTAAATATCAAAAGGTTAAGTTTGTTACAGTGAAGTGATTTATGTATAATTGTAGTGATTTGGGAAAAAATAGGGGGAAGGGAAGAATGGGGTCCCCTATGCTTCCAAATCTGTTATCATTAATAATGTGAGATCTGTTGACTTTATATAAATTAAAAACAAGATTAAAAAGTTACTTGTGAAGTTGCTTCATATCAGTCATAAAAGGAGTTTGTTATTTAGATGGGTAACGTAATAGTTTTCTTGTTTTGCTAAAAACATCCTTCAGTATTTCAAAGTAACATGGAATCAAGTATTTACTCTGTATATGGCAGAATATTGTCCTGGGAAGATTTGCTCAGATGGGAATGTATTATTTTTACAAAGTAATTTGTTAGACCACCTCCAGGGGCCCCTTTGCCCAAACCACGCCCCATTTCAGCAGGAAGTAGCCTTAAGATATCATTGCCCTTTACCCCTACAGAAGTAGAATGTGGGATTTCAAGAAGGGGTTCTGAGGCCATCCAGGCCTGCTGAGGTCGTGGCCACACCTTCAGGTGGGTGGCACCAACCTTGCCCATTTCCTAGCTGATTAAGAGACCACCAATGGAGAACATCTTACCTGTAGGTTCCCACCCAATAAGGAGGGTTCAGGGAATGCTTAAAGTCCTAAGACTCCTTTGGTGTGTCTCTCTCCCTTCCCTTTCAAAAGACACCCCACCTCCAGGCTTTCTCTCCGGAGGTGCTTTCTCTCCGGAGGTGCTTTCTCTTTCCCCCTCCCTTCGCTGTTCACCTGGTCCCTTTGCAAATGAACTTTTCCGTCTGCAACAACAAAAAAAGTAACTGGTTAGAAATGTGCAAGCAAATACTAGGTGGCTTTCTAAAGGTTTGAAAGTATCTAATATTACTGGGTCTTCTCTGTCATTTCTTTGCTATTAGCTCATTGTGGTGTTGATGAGAAAATCATTTAGATGTTTCAATGCTTAAACTAGACAGTTGAATAGTGATTTCAAAGAGATTTTTTTTCTCTTTTAAAGGAGGGGCAGTTTACATAAAGCTTTCAATGTTTATTGTATTAAGATATTGAAAAAGCAAGTAGAAGAGAGTGAAAGAACAGTTTCTCTAGGAACCAATGAATTCTTTATTTTGGGACTGACACTTGTCTAAGTTTGGAAACTGATGTGGAATTGCTAGGCCAGAGAATCTCTTCAGTTCTCTTCTGGTTCTCTTCTGGTTTATGATGGTTCATTCCTGCTATTCCTTAAGAAGCATCATTGTGTAATGCATAGAAGCACAGAGCTAGAGCTAGAGCAGGGTTTGACTCTCAGTCCAGACTTTATAGCTGTGTGACCTTGAGCAAGCTCCTTAATTTCTCTATTTTAATTTCCTCATATTTAAAATGCAGTGGCTATGGCGGTGGCTATGGCAGGAGTGGCAGCTATGACAGCTATAACAATGGCAGAGGCGGCTTTGGTGGTAGTGGAAGCAACTTTGGAGGCGGTGGAAGCTACAATGAGTTTGGCAGTTACAACAATCAGTCTTCAAATTTTGGACGCATGAAGGGACGAAACTACGGGGGCAGAAGCTCTGGCCCCTATGGTGGTGGTGGCCAATATTTTGCCAAACCACGAAACCAAGGTGGCTATCGTGGTTCCAGCAGCAGCAGTAGCTATGGCAGTGGCAGAAGATTTTAGTGACTGCCAGGAAACAAAACTTAGCAGGAGAGCAGAGCCAGAGAGTGACAGGGAAGCTACAGGTTACAACAGATTGGTGAATTCAGCCAAGCACAGTAGTGGCAGGGCCTAGCTACTACAAAGAAGATATGTAGAGAATACTCCTGTGTATGGGCAAAAAAAACTCGAGGACTATATTTGTGACTAATTGTATAACAGGTTACTTTAGTTTCTGTTCTGTGGGAAGTGTAAAGCATTCCAACAAAGGGTTTTAAATGTAGTTTTTCTTTGTTTTCTTTTTTTGCACCCTTGCTGTTGATTGCTAATTGTAATAGTTTGATCATAACGTTGAATAAATGTCTTTTATTTAAAAAAAAAAAGCACAGTTCAAAATTTAAAAAGCAATAAATAAAATGCATAGTTAATACAAAATATATATTGATGTTCTTTCTAGATAACTCAAAATCCCAAGAAGAAATTGTCAGTTTTGAATCACCACTTTATAAGACATCCAGCAAAACACTTTGAGGAAAATCCATCAATAATTTCTGACTTAACAGGTTGGTGGTAATAGTATATCTTAAGTGGAGTTTCTCATTATTGTTAGGTAACTTATTATCAGACTCCTAGTATAGTCTAAATTATGATTTATTAATATTTTTTCCTTTATGAAACTGGTGAAGTTCTTAGGAAGAATCAAAGAAGAATAACTTTTAGGGTGTTGCTGATAAAAAAGTTTGTCTTGAAAATAAGATGACAGATAGGAGACTTTTAGTGTTACATAACACCTCTACTCTCCTTGCAGTCACGTGGAATAAATCCTTTTTATTTATGACTCCTTTAGAAGTTTCTGATTTGATTTCAGTTGTTATTCATTCTTGTTATAGATTGCCAGCATGTCTTTTCCTGGTAAAATTTACTTTTAAATAAACATAGTGCCTTTTTATAATCTTCTTAATTGTATGTCTTATTTGGGAAATGAAATATTTTCTTCTGGTGGTAATTCTTCATATCTGAAGACACCAAATAGATTTACAATACCTTATTTGTTGTGAAGGTTAGTGATGAAAATATAGATACCATATTGGTATAAATAGCCAATTTTTAAAAAGTTACTTTGTTCAGACATGGAGATATGTTTCACCAGGATTCAAAAAACAAATTACTAGTATTGAGACAAAACAAAGCAAATGAATGAATTTCCTTTTTCCTAAGGAACATCTATGTGGGTTCCAGTAAAAGTGTCCAGATGGACTTACGTGGCTTATAATGTAAGTATTCCACTAAAGATTTTTTTCTCAAAATATTTTGGTTTTTATCTTTAAAAGTTAAAAAGTTTAAAGACTCTAAAACACATGATATTTTCACATAATTTAAAATAATTCCTTAATAAAATCTAGTTAGTATTAAGTTTTCTATGGTTTTATTTTTGGGCTTTTTTTGTTATTTTTTTTTTTTTAGTCCATCTGTTTAAATAACCAGGACCACACAGAGTTATTGATTGATAGGTTTTATACTCCTCTTTAATCTATAATACTTCCCTGTCACTCCTTTCCTTGAAATATATATGTTGAAAAATAAATAACAGGTCTTTTCATGGTCTTAATTTTGCTGATTTCATTCCTGTCATTATTTAGTATATTCTTCCTTTAAAATTTAGTATATTCTTATGCCAGACCTTTTTGTATGACTATATATTTAGATGCTTGGTCAGATTCAGGCTTTAGATTTTTTTGTTATTATTTTTGCTAGACTATGTCTCTCTCTATTTTGTAAGCAACTGTTGATGAGGAATGTCTTGCGTGATTAATCTACTTAGGAGTTGGCAAACATGATGATAGTCTAATTTTATATTTTAAAAATTTTTTAAAGGTTAATTTATTTTTATTGGAAAGGCAGATTTACAGAGAGAAGAATGAATAGAGCAAGATCATTCATTTGCTGATTCACTCCCCAGTGGCCACAGTGGCTGGGGCTGAGCTGATCCGAAGCTTGTAGCCTATAGTTTCTTGTGGGTCTTCCATGCAAGTGCAGGATCTCAAGGCTTTGGGTTATCTCTGCTTTTTTCCCAGTCTGTAAACAGGAAGCTGAGTCAGAAGCGGTGCAGCCAGGACACAAACCAGTGTCTATATGGGATTCCGGTGCTTGTAGCTGGAGGATTAACTGGTTGAGTTACCACACCAGTCGCTGATAGTCTAATTTTATTTATCCTTCATCATTTATTAACTGATATACTACCTAGAAAAACTGCATCTTTATCCACTCAAATTGTCTAACGTGGCATAAATCATAATTGAATATAATGGTAACTGCTTGGATTTTGGGATTTTACCTTACATTTATTGATTTGCAGAATAGTGAGTTGGCTGTTAGTATTCTGCATCAATGTCCACCAGAGGGTTTTTCTTCAGTGTTGTCAGGAACTCACTGATTCAAGCACTTATGCTTCAATCCATTGAAGCTGAGATGGTGCTGTGTTTGACCAGTAGAAGCCATTCCAAGTTTGACTTCTCAGTCTTTGATAGAATGTGTAGTTGTCTTTAATAGTTTCCTGCTTGTCCAGTATGACTGGATTATTTCAGCTCCTATTTTCTACAGCAGGCCTTGGGTCAGTCTTTTCTTGAAGGAACTGCTTTTTTTATCTGGGAAATGGTATCTCAAAATCACCATCTTGCAGTAGAAATGCTATGGTGATTGGTCAGACATTTGTAGGCCTCTCTAGTTGTCAGATCTAAAAAAGTTTAGTTTAATTTGACTAAAAGATTAAAAATAACAATGCAACAGAAAAGAATGTATTCAAAGTAATGACTCCAGAATAAATGCAAGCCTACAGAGTTCCTACCTAATCTCTAAGAATATAGAAGCATTTGAACTCTGCATCCTCTCTCTTCGACTCTTAGAATATTGGTTCTTGACAATTCTAAGAATAAGATTAAGATCATTACTCATTTACTTGATCTGAATTTTTGAATGGTGAAATTATCCAGGCATTTAAGCTATAATAAGTCTTTTCCTTCTGTTTTTAGGAATCTAATAAGATATATTTTACATTTCCTCTTGCAAATCATAGAAAAATCTACACTCATGTCTATTGTCAGAGCACCATGCTGGTAAGATAATTGCTACTTTTTATGTCATTTGAAAGGCTAGTGTTTAATGTACAGATTCAACTAATATTTAGCAAATGTATGAACTATTGTTAAATTTAGTTGGAAAATTTGGGGAACAGTGGTTTGATTGAAAACATAGTAGTAAAAATTTTCCTTTAATGTGCTGGTTTTTTTCACCTTTACCTAATGTGTTTTTCATTGGTTTATAGCATCACATGTGTTCTGTGTCCAGTGGCCTTTGTAGGAAGGTTGGTTTGAAATTTGGCGTGAACCATGCCTCAGTTTCCAAGAGCACAGATTGCCTTTCCCCAGATTACTGGGTTTGGTTGGATTTGCCTCCAGAATTGTTCCTTGCTTTGTACACATGAGCATATCTCTTGGTTAAACAAAAATCAGTTTCCTTTTGAACAGAAACAGCTTTTAAGAAATGCCATGTGCTCTCTTTGATTCGTGCACAACCAGCATGATTCCAGACATACCTGCCTTTTAGAAGTCCTGGTCCCAGAGGCCTCATAAGCCCCAAGATGGGAGAAACGTTTGTAAGGCACTGTTAACTTCTCTAACCTTTGATTCTAGTTTAGGTCTTTTCACTCTTTCTGCCATAGTTCACTCTGTTCATACTAAGGGAATTGAGCTCCCAAAACTTGAAATTATAAAATTCCATTAGCACTGTAAAGAATAAATATGGTAAAGGAGTTAGAGATATATTGAAAAGCAAATCCTGTTTTTCTATTTTGGTCCATATTAAAATTGATGTACTTTTTACACTAAATATGCTCTAGGAGTATCAGTTATAGTGTTATCTAGACTTAACAGAATGATTTTACACTGTTTATTTTCAGTGAGTACAATGCTAGACATTCTCTTCCCTCTCAGTGCTAGTTGTTCACCTCAGTAGCTAGTTCCCAAGGTTAAATGATGTGAAAGGTTGGAGTGGGTTCACAGCATGCCTGCCATGCCGACTGCTAATTCTTTAGCCATCCCTTGCTTGTGTGACTTTTGAGGGCATCTTGGATATGTTTCTCAGTAACAAAGTACAGTTATTTGTTTCTCTGTCCCTACTCACTTTTTTTGAAAAGCTGTTGAAGATACTCATTTTAAGTAATTATTTTCTGTACTCTGATGTGTTTCATTTTTCGTCATGAATAGGATACAAACAGTTGGATTTTTGGTTGCATAAACAGCACTTCTATGTGGTGAGTACTGAGCTCATGGCTTGGCCTCGTCAGTTGTCTCAGCATAAACAATACTCAGGGGTGATACTCTTAAGATCAGCTTACTTGTTCTCTTGCTCATTTTGTAGCTATATTAAAGTATTAATTTCAAAGTGAAAAGAAGAGGAAATGGATTTGTAGAAATTTTTGTAGCTATTGAATGTAGTTTGCTGTTAGTAAAAAAAACAACTTTTTCTTGCCAGGCAAACTGTCAACAGAGTATCTTGGGTTAGACTTACTAGATTTCAGTTCATTATAATTCTGTCTGCTGAGATCTATAGATATTTTCTTTTTCCTCTCAAGTCTATCATTTGCAATATTTGAATGTGTTTTTCCTTTAATTATTTTTTGATATTTATTTCAAAGCCGGCAAGGTGTGGATTTATCGTGGAAGGCTGAATTACTGCCAACAATTAAGGTATAATATAACTTTAGAATTTTAGTGTCCAGGTGAAAAAATTATGTCTATGGACAGTTTGTTCTTTCATTAATTTATTAAGCAAGCTTGAGTTTTGCTAACCTATATCTTACAAATATTTTTGTTAGAGATACATTTGATGAGGAATTGTTTGTAATTAAAGTTGCTTTTTTTTAAACTTTCAGAGATGAAAAATTAAGTTAACAATCCTCTAAATTAATAAGGATACATTTGCAAATTAAATTGAAAGTAGGTTTGCATGGTCTGTTTTATAATAAAACCTGCATGGTGTAATCAGAATTTCGGGAGGACTGAGCTGTGGTGGGGAGATGGGCATCTCGAAGAGAACTGAAATGATTTTTCCACATCAATTTCAAAATCATTTTGTGGTGAAGCACTTGTGTAGCTTTACGTAATATCCTCCAGGGTAATAAACAACAGATGCGTTTCATAATTGTTACTATTATCCTTAAGCAACTGTGGTGAGGTTAGCAGGTATTTTTATATAAGGCTTATTATATATTCTCAAAATTAATTTTTGATAAGATAATTATAAGATGTGATAGAAGTAGTCATTTTTATTTCCGAATTCTATTTATTACAACTGATTATTTTGAGTCAGGATTGATATTTGTAGTTTTCAGTCAAGTAAGTCTATGCATTAAGTGTATTTTCATAGTGAATACTAGAATCATACTTGAAAACGAAATCATATGGTTGCTCCTATGTGTCTCTCAGGTAACTTCAAGAAAGTAAATTTTGGTCATGTATGCTTATATTTATTTGCATAAATAGTCAACTCTGTACTAACAGAGAAGAACTTCACTAACAGAAGCAGCACAGTGACTGAGGAATAATAAGTCACATTTTGGAATACTGGCAGATTTTTTCCCATTGCCTTGCTTGATCTTTCTTTGTGCATATTCATTCACTTGACTGTATTCATATTTACAAAACAAAGTCTGTGGGGAAGTAGTTAACTCAGGATTATTTTGAAGGTCTCACTGTTTCTATCCTAACCTCCCTGGCCAAAGCTCAAACAAATGTGTTAGGATAAATATACAAATTACTAATTCATGAGACAGTCTATCCAGCCTGTGATTTAAGAATTAGAAAGAAATACATTATTAAAAATTTAGTAAAATGTACTTTGTTCTTATATTTTTAAACCATAAAATCTTACGTGATTTTTAAAGTCCCCCAAGATTAAACAAATGTGTTTATAAACTTTAGGTCCCTATGTTGTTTGTTCTGAATGTAAGAGACAGCTGGCTGAGTAGAACAAGCTATTCCAGCTGTTTAGTTTTCATAGTGATTTCTAAAAGGAAGCTCTTAGGATATGTGGATTATGATATTCTGGAACCTTGCGTGTTTTCAGTTAGGATTATAATTATTAAGTATAAATTTTTTCATTATGAAAACAAAAACTTAATGTGAAGTGTTAGCTATTTATAAGGAATGCACAGCATTATTTTGCCATAAAATTGAGTTATCAAGTGAAAAGATTTTGTAAGTTTTATTCATATTTATATCTTCTCAGAAGAAATATTATCTGATGAGAATCATCACTTTCTGGTATCTCTGCTAATTGTTAGTGAATAGATGCAGTGCTCTGGCAAAGCCTTTTGTCATTGTTGAGAATATGCATTTAAGTTAACCAGATCAATAGCTACATAAAGTATTCAAGCTTTTTTACATTGGAGTGTCTTTAGAGAGGATGTTCATATATAGTATTATGTAGCAACATTTTCCTGCTTAACCTAGATCAGAATCATTTGACATTAAATTCTAACTCATTCATCAGCTGTTGAATGAAATAATTTGTCATATATTACCAAAATAAACCAAAATAAAGTGTAGCAATAAGATTGTAATTCTGTGTGTAACAAACAGCCAAATTACAAAAAGAAACATACAAAAATCTGGAAGTAAGCATCTAAAATCATTAGATATATTAGATATTTAAATTTTAATGTATTTGAACTTTTAAGTATTTGACATAATTGTACTAGGAATTTGAACTTCAGTAGGATTAGCGACCTGGAAATGTAAACATTTTACGATGTACTAGATTTAACTTTGACATACTTTTACAAAAAAAGTAAGTAATTTAGAAATGTTTTAATTTACCTTTTGTTAAATAAGTATTAATCTCTGTCTTAATAAATAAAGTGTCTTATTTTCTTTCTTTCATTTTTTTTTTTTAAGTTTCTGACCTTAAGACTTCAAGACTATCCATCTTTGTCTCATCTTGTTGTTTATGTACCATCTATTCATGGAAGTAAGGTAACATGTGAATTAAGATTTTTATCAGAATATTTGTGATATATTCTAACTTTTAAACTTTTTTTAATGGGTTCTGCATAAAGCTTAATGAAAACATTTACCAATTTAGTGAGCCACCTAAAAATCTTAAATCCTTAGGATCATCTGCTTCAACTTGAACTAAGCAGAATAAATCCAAGCCCCTTTGTACGGTTTTATCAGTCTTTTAAAATCTGTGGATTACTAGGTACTGATTTAGGTACAAGATTATGTACCAAGAAATAAAAGAAACAACATGAATCAGATAGACATGGATCCTGTTGTTAGGATGCTCCAAACTGTTGAATCAAGAGAGACACACACATGTAATACATATCAAAATATAGAAAGTAGATGAAAAGTGTCAAAGGAAGAAATAATTCTAAATGCTGCACAATGATACGCATTCAAAGTATGCTTAAAGGATAGGATTTTCGTAAAGAATTCTAGACCTGTGTTGTCAATGAGAATCACTAGCACAGGCAGCTACTAAATTTAAATGATTAAATAGGGCCCCTGCGCGATAGCGTAGTGGTTAAAGTCCTCACCTTGCACATCCGGGATCCGATATGGTCACTGGTTCTAAGACTGGCAGCCCCGATTCCCATCCGGCTCCCTGCTTGTGGCCTGAGACAGCAGTTGAGCACGGCCCAAAGCCTTGGGACCCTGCACCCACATGGGAGACCTGGAAGAGCTCCTGGCTCCTGGCTTCGGATTGGCACAGCTCCAGCCATCGCGCTCACTTGGGGAGCGAACCAGTGGACAGAAGATTTTCCTCTCTGTATATCTGCCTTTACATAAAAATAAATAAATTTAAGAAAAATAAACTGATTAAATAAAATCTAAAGTTCACTTTCTTAGATGTACTATCCACATTCCAAAAGCTCAACAATACCATCATTGAAGAAAGTTGTAATACATAGTGTTTAAGTATGTAGGAATAGTATGTATTTGGAAAACTGAGTAATAATTTTTGAAAGAGTGACCATCCTGAGTAAAATATCAATGGAAGAAAAGTCTGGAAATGTAGGTCTCAGCCATATTTTAGAGGAATTGGAGGATGCTGGACATTACAGAATTTGCAAGTTTGGAAAAAGACCTAAAATTTTTCACCACAGTAGTGGATAAGAAAGAATTAGAACATCAGTGTATTCAAGATGTCAGAAGGAGGAAAAATGAAGAGTAGGCTCCATATGAGGAATTGTGAGGGCTTGTACCAGGGAACTGGCAGAATTAAGGGTGATTTTGAGAGAACTGATAGGGGAAAAGAGAAGATGGGGGTAGAAGGCCTTCTGTGCTCCTCATCCTTTTAAGTCCAAACTGTGGCCCTTTTAGTTTCCCAGACCCCTCCCATAATACTTTTTAAATTAATTATTTATTTACCTACTCCACTGATGCTTTGATAACAATTTCTTCAAGGAATTTATTTCCTTAAGTTGTAAGTTATTTGTCTGATTGCATATCTCTATTATGACTATTTGAGAGTAGCAGCCACTTAGGTTTTATTTTGCCTTATATTCTCAGCATTTAGTGAATACTCCCAAAATGGTTAAAAAATAGTGTTTGTTTATAGAGAAAATTGTGAGATTTATGACCAAAATCATTAGGAAAATTTTTAGCAAGTAAGAAAAAGGAAAAGGGGGATGTAGTTGGGAGTCTTCGCAAAGACTGAGTGGCACAAGTACCTTATAATGGATTCATTGTTTTGTTTTGCTTAGCTCAAGTGAGAGGTAATTCATCATCTTCAATACTAAAAACTCTCTTTAAGGGTTTTTCTGTCAGGTAAGTTGGTTTTGAATGAATCTAACATCTCTCTCAAACTTGAAAAGGCCCTCTGGTTGTTTTAAGAAATGAATGAAACTTTCTGCAAGTAGACAGTAGCCTAATAAATGTGTAATATGTTTTGATGCTTTTTGATAAATGGTATTGTTGACTCTACCGTCCTGCAGCCCAGTCTCATTAGGATAATACAGGTCTTTTATGGTTTTTGCATGTCTGTGTCACAGCCCATCAGGAGAAAACTACATGTATTCAAAAGGCAGAATAAACAAATTTGAGTTAATTTACATCTTCATAAATTTTTCGAAATGCAAGTGGAATTACTTGTATTCTTTTTGATGGCAGAAATCAAAGTAAACCCATCAGAAATTTGTTTATGGAATACTAAATTGTTCCTTGGTTACGGATTTTTATTATTCAAAACTGAATGCATAGCCAGTTTTTAAATCAGTTATAAAAATCCTGTTAATTAAAATATGTGATGCAGCAAGTTAGGCTGACACCTCTCCACCTGCTCATTTCCCTGCCTTAGGCAATGGATCGGCTTATTCAACCCAGTCAGCTTATTCAGCCAATGATTTCTTGTAACAGCTATTTGTGACTATAATGAAAATATCCATTTGGGTTCTTTGCCTTGTAAAGGAGAAATAAAAACACATCCCCAAGCACATCTTTTCTTTTGTTTACCCATGTGGTACACAATAGCAAGATGCCTAATAGTTTCTCAGTTTAAAAAGCAATAAAAACATTACAAAAAGGGCAAACAAAATATCATTGCATCGAAGGTCTGAGGTGCAGTTGTCAGAAAACCCTAAGGCAGACTGCACAGGCATTGGACTTTTAAAGATTAAAGATACATCAAACTGCTTGCTAATTATGGTAGAATATCAAATTGATTTTTTTTCTTGGCTCTTCATAGATCAAAACTAATTGATTGCATTGTGGAGATTGTTTTAGTAAAATTGTATCTTTACCAAAAATAAGCCCTCCTGCATAATACTGAGAACGAAGTCTTGTGTGAGTTTTAAGATTGATTTATGTATTTGTAAGGCTGAGTGAGTAAAAGGAGGAGAGAGATTTCTACTGACTCACTCCCTAAAAGGCCGCAGCAGCCAGGATGGGAGCACTCCAAAGCCAGGATCCAGGAACTCCATCTGCTCTCCCATATGAGTGGCAGAGACCCAAATGTTCAGGTCTTTATCTGCTGCCTTGCTAGGATTTTTAGCAGATTTAAAAGCAGAGAAGCCAGTACTTGAATCAGTACCCCACTATGGGCTGCTGGTGTTGCAAGCAGCAGCTTAACCCGCCACAACACAAAGCCAGCCCCTCTTACAAAGCTTTAGGAATGTCATTAAAAAATAAATTGTTGTCATTACAAGTAATTGTAGTCGTGTGTATCTCATACTGTATACATTGCTTTTTGAAAAGCATTTGTTGTTTCATACATTATAAGCTTTTCTTTCCTATTCACACAATAACTTTTTAACCAGAAATAATTTCACATGAAAAGCATTAGCCATCTGTGGATGAATAATTGGATCCAACAGTGTTTATAATCTAATTAAACTGTATGGAATTTTTTAGCTCTGTCACAAAATCACATTTCCCCTTTGACTGTGTAACTGTTCAAAGATATGTTATCAGAATTCTTAATCTTGAGTTAACCTTGACTCTTAATACTTAGATCCATCTTTTAATAATGCTCTTCTACAAACACCTAAAACTAAAACTTTACTATGGATATGTTGTTGTAAAAATGACCATCTGATAAATTAACTTACTAAGTTAAGCTTATTGAGCAGGTTTCTCAGCGTAGGTTCTGTTGTTGAAGAATTCTTGCGGAGCGGATATAGACAGTTATAGTGTGAATACTTGTTTTTCCAAAATAAAGTTTTGTAAACTTTTTTTTGAAACATAGGGTGATGATATTTAACTATAGATTTAATTCTATTTTTTTCCAATGTATCATTTTTTTTTCTATTTCAGTTTGTTGTAGATTGTGAATTCTTTAAGAAAGAGACAAGATCGATACAGCTTCCTGTAACTCATCTCTTTTCCTTTGGTAAGTGCTTTAGTTTGGAAATCTTCAGAATTGCTCCTATTTTCAACAGTACAAATTTATTTTTTAAGTTAATGAAATAATTCAAAACCTTATAATTTTAAATAATGTGTATTTCAAGTAATCATTTGAGCTTTGATGGCTTGATTCACACTTAATCCTGAGCCAGTGATCATCTTCTCAGAAGTGAACCTTAAAAAGACATTTCTCTGCCCACAAATGAGAACAGCTGCAGGTACAAGTGTGTTTTCTTGTTTTCAGCCTTTTAGTAAAGTGTTTTTTATAGAATATAAATGTTATCTTCCTTGTGAAGATTTCAAGGTTTTTTCAAATACTCTTATGTATTGTTTTGAAATAATTTTAGACTTACAGAAAAGTTATAAAGGAATAAAATTTGTATTCTTCGCTTTTCCTAATGTTGCTTTTCAAAATATGCAGAATGCAGGGTTTTTTTTTTTAAAGATTTATTAATTTTATTTGAAAGCCAGAGTTACAAAGAGAGAGGGAGTGACAGAAATACCTTGCATTCACTGCTTCAGGCCTCAAATGGCTACAGCGACCAGAACTGAGCCAGTCAAACTGGGCTGGAAGCTTATTCTGAGTCTCGTGCATGGGTGCAGGGACACAGGCCTTGTGTCCCTTCACTGCTTTCCCAGACCATTAGCAGCGAGCTGGATCACAGATGGAACAGCTGGGACAGTGCCCATGTGGATGCTGGTTCCACAGGAGATGAATTAAACTGTTATGCCACCCATAAAATGCATATTTTAAAGATAGGAAATTAGTATTGGGGGCTGATGCCGCAGCATAACAGGCTAAGCCTCACCTGCAGCACTGGTATCTATGAGAGCAAGTCCTGGCTGCTCTGCTTCCAGTCCAGCTCGTTGAAAATGCACCTGAAAAAGCATGAGGATTGGCTTAGGGGTTGGGCCCCTGCACCTACATGGGAGACGAGAGTAAACGCCTGGTTCCTGCCTTTAAACTGGCCCAACTATGGCCATTGCAGCCATCTAGGGAATGAACCAACAAATGGAAGATCTCTTTCTCTCTCTACCCACTGTCCTCCCCCCCATCTCTCCTTCTGTCTCTGTAAATGTGCCTTACAAATTGAAATAAATAAATATTTAAAAATTTAAAAAGGAAATTGGCATTGGTGCAGCACTATTAACTAAATCTACAGGCTTGCTTTGGTTTTTACATTTCTCCACTGATGCCCCCACTCCCCCAGGTTTCCACATTGTATTTATTGGTCATGTCTCATTAATATCCTGTGTGTGACTTTTCCTTATTCTTGCCTTTTCTTTCAAACCTTTGAAACTTTTGAAGAGTATTGGTTAATATTTTGTGAAATATCCTTCAGTTTGTATTTATCTAATACTTTCTTGTGATTAGATTGAGGCTATGGTGTTTTTTTTTTTTTGCCAAAATATAGGAATAAAATATATTTCTCAGCAAGTAATTTCAAAGGATACATGAGATTAACATGTTATTGTTGGTTGTATTAACCTTGATATCTTGGTTAAGGCGATGCCTGCCTGCCTTCTGCATCATAAATTGCTACTTTTTCTTCTGTTTTTAATAAATATCTTTGGGAAGGTATTTTGAGTATGTAAATACCTTGTTTTTCTCCGAGATAACCCATTCATTTTAGCATGTGTTGGTTCATCAAGTCTTTAGCAAATAATATTCTGATACTACTTTTTTTTTTTAAATGTTAGTTTGGATCTACTGGTTTTCTCTCACCCCACATGCCTGCAGTAATTGGGGCTTGCCCACATTGCAAGTAGGAGCATGGCATTTAATCCAGGTCTCCCACATGGGCGGTAGGAGTGTAATAACTTCCAGTGTCACTGTTGCCCCTCAGATCTGCCTTAGCAAGAAGCAGGGTCTGGAGCTGGGAATGAGACTTGGGACTCTAATAGGGAGTCATTGGCTGAATCACACTGCCCTAATGCCTGCTCCCTGTAATCTGTCAATAATAATAATAATAAAATCTGTAGGCATTCTCTTAAATGTTATTTAAGCATTTTTTTAAAAGCATTGATATTCTAAATGATATAACACCCTTGATTCAACAGGATTGTCTTCAAGGAAGGTGGTTTTAAACACAAGTGGACTGTACTACAATATAGAGCTTCTGAACTTCGGACAGGTCATTATCCTCACTACAATAAAAAAGGTTTTAATTTACTTCACTTTTTAAGCAAACAAGTAAATTATTGTTCCTTTTGTTGTGATCAAATGCTGTTTAGATATACCAAGCATTTAAAATCAACGTGGTAAGCAAGTGCTCAGGAGTCAGAGGTAAGTGTATTTTCTGAAAAATATATAGTATTGTTGTGTGTGAAGTCTATAGTTTTTTGCTTAAATACTCTAACACCTTTTATGTTTTTCTGTAAAATTAGCTGGAATTAACTGAAATAGGTAATAATAGAAAAGAATCTTTAACAGTAAAACATTTTTATCTGTTTCAATTAAAATATCCACATTTTGAAAATACTGTATGTCTTTATGTCTTGAAGTAATAGTTCAGATTAAACTGCTCAGTGTTTTTCCAGTTAGATGAGATAGTAAATATCTAGTTAAATCATTGTTGTTTCAGGAATTCCCAAATCCTTTTTCTTTCTGTGATATAACCGTTACTGAGTATTTTCATGAAATGAGATTGTATGATTAGATAGATATTATAGAAGTTTAAGTTACAGTTAAGGTAACATATGATTGGTAATACATGGTTCGTTTTTGTTTTAACAGAAGAAATAACTAGTATCTATAAACTGCATATTCCATGGTCTTATGAAGATTCATTAACCATTGCACAGTAAGCCTATCAAAGAATTTACTTTCAACTCTGATTCTTTTGGAAAATAGAAATTTGGATAACTAATATCATAGATATTTATTTAAGTCCTATGAATTATTAAAATGCCTCAGTAAAACATATATATCCTTCAGCATCGTGCACATCATTTAATATAGAATATGATATTCTTGTTAAATAATATAGAATTTAAGCATAGCATAGTTGAAACATAAGGGTCTTTCCACACTTCCCCCACTCCTGTGCCCTAGAGGGAGCATTGACACAGTTGAGATGTGGTTGGGAAAATGGTTCATAACCCTAAATCTGGCATCTCATTTCATCTACATTATTTCATTGTATTGATGATTAACTTAGCCATGGCAGTTTGTTTTTGATGATTGATTTTTAACTTATCTCCTCAGGGTTCCATCTACCACAGAAATTTCCCTGAAGCTTCATATTGCTCAACCAGAAAATGACAGCCATGTGGCATTATTAAAAATGTACACATCATCAGACTGTCAATATGAGGTAGGTTGCCTGCATAATCATCAAGTAAGATTTACTTACAGCCTAAGCTAGAGAATTTTTATTAGTTGTAGGTATGAAAGCCAGTAAATATAAGAAATAGACATTTAAAATACATTAAGAATTCCCCATTATTGTTTGTTAGTAACATCTTCAAAGTATCCTTAGCTGGATAATTTGAAAATATGCCCGTCTTAAGCACTAGAAAATAAAAATTGAGACTGCAGAGGTCCCAAGTCCAGCATCTTTTATAAATCAAAGAACTGCATGAAATAAACTGACTTGGTTTGGCACAATAATTAACATGGTACATGTTGGTTCACATCTCCCCTAGGTCAGCTGAAGGATGTTTATTCCTCTTTGCTATTTACCTAAACTCTATTAGTTATTAATATTTTGCCTATGCCTACTGTGTTTATTGTATGAATCAAGGGGATCTCCTCAACATATCCATATTGTTACAAATGGTGCATGTTTTGAACAAGCCAATATTTTGAAAAAATGTGTTTTGTAATTTTCTAAGAAAAATCTACTTTTCCAAGACTTACTGTTATCAAAAGGTTTTGTTCATGTGTAATTAGCATGAATTTCTTTTTTATTATTATTATATTTTTATCATTTTCAGGACAGGAATGAGAGCAGGGGTGGAGGGGGAGAAAACTGGAAGGGACATACCTCCTGCCATGGTGGTAGAAGGGGTGCTGCCAGGGGGGACAGGGAAGGGGACTGAGTCGGTGGGAACGTCAAAAGGAAGGGAGGGGGAAGGAGAGAGAGAGAGAGTCTGGGAGAGAGGAAGAGGAGGGAGAGGAGGGGGAGGGTGAATTTCTTTTTAAAGCATTATTTTTACTTAAATTCCCTTATCTAGCATAATTTGTTAATGACATCTTGAGATTAATTAAATATTTTATTTTGTAATGGATTACCACAGATAAAAGATTCACCCAATTATTGATGAATTAGAATATAGGATAACATATTAAATGGTAAAATTGTACTTGATACCATTTAAGTGGTGGTTAAGAAGATTCTTTAAGATTTTGCATTCCTTTGGAGTTATCTTTATTAAAAATCAATTATGCTTAATGGTTGGAGAAGTGCTCAGATTAATGAAATGTGAAATAGAGGAGTTTAGGAAAAATAACCTTTTTTAATCATTGTTTTAAACTAGGTTACAGTTAAGACTTCCTTTCCACAAATACTTGGCCAGGTAAGAGACTCTTGGTTGTTGTTTATTGCCTTGTGAAAAAAGGTTATAAATTTTTTATGCAAATCAGTGATTTACCAGCACATGCAGCTGCTTTTTCTGACTCATCTGCTGCTTTCCTCTTTGTTTCTCTTCTTACTTCCTCTACTTCAGTAGTATCTTGGAACCATTCTTGGCCCACAGACCATGACTAGCAAACCTTTGCCTTGAGGTGATGAACTTTCTTGATTACAACATGCTAGAAATGACAGTTGATACCTGATTCTTCCCCAAAAGTTAATCTTTTTGCCCACGTGAATGTCATATTAAAAATGTGTTGTTCATGTTACAGTCTAATTCATAGCATAATTAAATCTGTAGCTTTCACGAGTTTTTTATGTTGTACATATTCAATTTGTAAAATGTAGGAAATAAATTCTCTTAATCATCAATATGTTGAAAATAACTTGCAAATAATGCTACAAGAATTATGTATTAAGCAGTAGTGCTACAGATATTCAGGATAACTTGCAGAATGATGTAATCTAGCATAAATAAGATTATATTGGTGGGTCAAGTTTTAAAATTTAGTAAAATTTTAGTAAGCTTTATTTTTATTTCTTGGGTTTTTTTTTTCATATTTTTCTTCAATCAGATATATAATTCTTTTTCTTTGCTTTAAATTATTATTTTGGAATCAGCTTGGCATATGTCAGCACTGGTTATTATAGTCCCAGAGTTGGGCTGCTCCATTTCATTTCAAGCTGCTTGTTAATACACCTGGGAAAGCAGCAGAAAATGGCCTAGTATTTGGGTTCTTGCTACTCATGTGGGGGACCAGGGTGAAGAGTCTTGCTGTTGGCTTTGACCTGTCTCAGTTCTGGCCTTTGGAACCATTTGGGAGGGAATCAACATAGGAAAAATCTCTACCATTTGGTTTTTCCTTCCTTCATTCCTTTCCTTCTCTTCCTTCCCTTCCTTCCCTTTCTTCCCTTTCTTTCAATTTTTTTAAGGCTTTGTTTTTATTGGACAGTCACATATACAGAGAGGAGGAGAGACAGAAAGATCTTACGTCTGTTGATTCACTCCCCAAGTGCCCACAATGGCTGGAGCTGAGCCAATCCAAAGCCAGGAACCCAGAGCCTCTTCCAGGTATCCCAGGCAGATGCAGGGTCCCAAGGCTTTGGCCGTCCTTGACTACTTTCCCAGGCCATAAGCAGGGAGCTGGATGGGAAGCAGGGCAGCTGTCAGAATTAGAACTGGTGCCCACAGAGGATCCTGCTGCATGCGAATCAAGGACTTTAGCTCTAATAATTACAATGCAATTACAATACAACTCACAAATCAAAATTAAATCAGAAACATTTCTAGTATATGTGCTGCCAAAGTGAGCACACTCAGAAGCATTTTTATACATAGCACCTTGTTTGGTCCTTGCAACAACCCACTGAAAATTTGATGGTGATTATTAAATTTGTGAACATTATGAAATTCTAAGTTAACATTAAAATTTTGTGCTAAATTGTAATAGAAAATCAAATGATAGTTACAAGCTGGAAAATAAAATCAGAGACAGTTATAAGAAATATTCTAAAACAGAGGAAAAATGCTTAGAATAATTCATCAGATTGTGTTTTTAGCATTTGTAATACATAAACTACACAGTGGTTCAGAGGAAAGATATAAATGCCCTTTTATCCCTCTCACTCCTCCATTTATAATACAGATTAGTGACAGGAAAAGTCAAGTTAACTTGATGTTTTGTAGACAGGTGTTATACCCAAAGATGATAGACTTAATCTTATTTATATGTGGAAAATTTTATAAAAAATATGAGTATACTAGTGTTACATGACCAAAAGGTGTAGTTTAAAATATCAAATAAAGCATTCAAGGTGATTGAGTTGTTGTTCTGAAACGATTGAAAAAAATACAATATCTTCTTCACGCTTATTTCAAATTTAGCTTGTGGGTAGTAGTAGAATGAAAGTAAATTGTATAATACATCGTTTTAGTGTAATTGATAGAATCATAGGAGACTTGGGAGGAGGAATAAAGAGAAACAACTAGGATAAATCTTAAGCTTTTCATTAGAAGATTTTTCATAGAGTTAACTTTTTTTCTGGGAAAAGAAGAGGAAAATGTGTTTACATATTCTTTAGTCTGCTATTAAAAAGTTAGCCAAGTAAACTCAACACATTATGTACATTCTAATAAATTATTTCTGTATGGAAATTACATCTAATGCTTGTAGATTTTTAGATTTTAAATGAAACTGAAATTTGTATTTTTAGGTAAAATCAGTTTATCTATGTTGATGTCTAATTATTGAAAAATACTGTGCCAAATATTGAGCTAAGTGAATCATGTCTACAGTTTGACTATGATCCATGTAAACCAATTTGAGTTTCTATTAAGGTTTATTTTTATCATGTATTTATATTTCTTTTTAAAAAAATTATTTATCTGAAAGGAAGATATGCAGAGTGAGAGAGAAATCTCCAGATATCCACAACAGCCAGGGCTGAACTAGGAGCTTGGCATTCCATCCAGGTCTCCCACATGTGATGGCTCAAGTACTCGGGCCATCTTCTGCTGCTTTGGCAGGAATATTAGCAGGGAGTTGGATTGGAAGTGGAGCAACCAGGATTAAACTGACACTCATGTGGGATGCCATTGTTGCAGACAGTATTATAATACACTGTGCCACAGCAGCCCTACCTGCCCAAGGTCTGTGATTGGAAATAGTTTTGTGCTGTGTCAGGGAAGTTTTAAGTAAAAAATAGCTGTTTATTTCATTTGAAAATATGTTTATTTCATGAATATAAATATTCAAGAGTTTCTCATTGATGTGCCTGTTTTCTAGGTAGTTAGATTCCATGGGGGAGCTCTGCCTGCTTACGTAATATCTAGTATCCTTCTCGCATATGGAGGGCAGTTATATTCTCTTTTCTCAACAGGTAAGAAGGTTTATACTTTTTATTTTTTTCATGAATATTAGACTGGAATAATTATTAGTTTTATTATTAAATCCTTTTGACGTAGAAGATCTAGTGAAGCTATTAGCTGCAAATACTGTAATTTTATGCATGAGGTTTTATGGCTAGTTTTCTCTGTATCTTTTTTTCAAAACCTTGTCAACCATCAGTCTCAAACTAGTATAAAACAAAAATTTCCTGAGCCATTTTGGCCTGAAAACTCAGATACTTTCAGTGTGTGGTGCTAAGAGAGAATGATTATTAATATTCTCTTATGCTGTCATTTTTTACTCAAGGTCATTTTTAATGTAACAACTAGCTATTTTAACTCTAAATTCTAAAATACGCATTGGAATTGAAAATGAAATCATCTTCATTTGTAATTTTTTTCAGTAGGTATGTCTTAAGAGGAAACAAAAATAGCCAGAATATACACCAAGAAGTTTACCATTAGTGCCCTGGTAGAATCGATGATTTCTTTTTCCATTTTTTGCATTATTATTGTCATTTTTATTAAACAGTTCAGTAGGCCCTGGGATTTCCCGTTCTGCCTCCTCAAATCCTCTCTCCCCCAACGTGGAATTCCCCTATATTATTACTATAGTATAGTTCTTCACAAACAGTCAAAAGTCCATCATTCTGCTATTTAAGTGTATCCTGCCATTGTGGGCATGGACGATGGCAAGGAGTCCAGCATCCTATTGTAAGAATATATTTCACAATTTTATTGGGAATCATACTTTGATCTGGAAGTAGAGATGCATACTGCATTGTATTCTCACATCTAGATATGATAGTCTACATTACACAGTTACTATACGTCCTGTTATATGAAAAGCCACAAAACAAAATCAACAACAGGAAGAAAATAGAGGTTAAATAATATAATACTGATTGGCTAATGTGTCACTGAAGAAATGAAAATGAAAATTAAGAACCTTTTAAAAAAAATGGATGATCTACAAATCAGTGAAGTTTAATGAGGAAAAAATTGTTTACAAGAAATAAACCTAAAAACAAAAGCATCAAAATCCATGAAATATAGTTTCTGCTGATCTTGGTGAAATGTGTATCCTGCAGACAAAAAAATACAAGGAGTTAGTTTTTTAATCCAGTCTACTGATCTATGACATATCAGTGATGAGTTTAAGTCATTTATACTCAAGGTTAATATGAATAGGTGGTAATTTAGTCCTGTCATTTTAGCAATTGGTTGTTCATCGTTTGATTTAGTCTTCTGTTGTTTCTTTTTTACTGGAATGTTCCTCAGCTTTGCCCCTGGTTTTGGTGGGTGCTATTTCTTTTCTCTGTCAAGCAAACATCTTTAAGTATCATTTGTAAGGCAGGTTTCAAAGAGGCATATTCTTTTAACTTTTCTTTGCTGTTTGTGCAAGTAACTTATTTCCTTTTAGCCTGTAGAGTTTCTGGTTAGAGGTCAACTGTGAATCTGATGGGCATCCCTCTGTAGGTCAATTGATTTTTTTTCACATGCACATTGAAGGATCTTTTTCTTATGTTTGAAGAGAGCTTGGTTATACATGTCTTGGTGAGGATCACTTTTGTTCACCCCTGTTGAGAGTTCTGTTGCCCTCCTGAATGTTGTTTCCCAGTACTTTCTCTAGATTAGGGACATTTACCATTATTGTTTCATTTAGTACAGCTCTAAACCCAGTTTCTCTTTCTGCACTTCTGGAACTCCCATAACTCTTATATTTGGCCTTTTAATAAAGTCTTTCAATTCTTGAATACTTTTTTTGGTTGACCCAGTTCTGCTTTCAGATTTTTGTTTGTTTCCCCCTTGTGACAGGAAATATCTTCCAACTCTGAGATCCTTTCTTCTGCTTCCTTCATTTTATTATTGAGACTTTCCCCTGAACTTTAATTTGGTGTATTGCATCATTCATTTCCAATAATTCTGCTTGATTTTTGTTTCAGTGTTGCTATTTCCTGTTTTACATATTCCTTAAATTCCTGTATTACATGCTTCTTGTTGTTGATAAGAAGCCTTATAACAAGAGTTTTGAATTCTGTATACCCCATTTTCTCGATGTATTCCTCAGTGAACTCTGAGGTTGGCAAAGGCTTTTGCTCCTTTGTAGGGGAGTCTTCAGTAATATTCATAGTGTCTCTGTCTCTTTGCACTTGGTCATTTTACTTCTGGTTAGCAGATTCTTCTCCTTGGGGCAGGTTTCTAAACTGGTTCTACTCACATGTCTACAGTTTGATTTTACTTCTTGTGGTTGATACATTGTTTGGCTCTTTGTTTGCAGTCATTTGTGCCACTCCCTCCAACAAGTTTGAAATCTGGGCTCTTATGTTAGACTTCCACAGTGGTCTCTGTAGCCCCAGGTACTGGTCCCCACTCTACCTCCTGTGATCCTGTGCTATTGTTGCACCATGGTTTGTACAAGGTTTCTCCCACTTCTGGTTTGAGCAGTGCCCAGGACTGTGGAGACACCAGATTCCTAAATAGCTAGGTAATTGGCAGCGCTGTTCCTACCAGAACCTGCTGGCCATTAGGTCTGAGGGCCACACAGACTACTTTGAGTCGTAAGCTGCCAAAATTGGTATTATTTTCAGTTGGGACCAGTGCAACGCACTGAAGTCTCAGTGAATTCACTCCCAGGTCACTGTAAGCACAGCTCACTGTTGTCCCTGCTGTCTCAAAGCCTTTGCCGCACTTTACAAAATGGCACTTGATATGCTACTGTTTGAGTTGTGGATCTGCTGGTCGTTATGTCTGTGGGCTACCTGCACTTATTTTGGATGGAACCTGTATGATGCCATGTGGTTGCAATGCACTGAGGCAGAAATGAGTTCACTCCCAGCTTAGTGCATGCAGAGTCCTGTCCCTATCTTTTGCCTCCTTACACAAGATAGCACCAGATTCAGTGCTAGTGGAGTCTGGGCTGTGAAATCCACCCTGTTCCTGCACTGCCTGTTTGGGATCTGCTGCTCTGTCTCTGCTCCTGGTCAAACAAACCAGCAGGACAGGCAGTTTTTTTGCTTGGGTTCATGTGCTGAGCTCCTGGTGAACTCCCCTTCCACCTGGTAGCTGGTGCAGTTCAGACACTCAGGTCGGTAAATGCTGTTGTGGTATCTGGTCACTGCAACACCATGCCATTGTCTCCACTGCTCCCTGTGTCTATCAGTGTCCAGGTGCCCATGTGTCTATCAGTGTCCAGGTGCCCGTTGCCATCAGTCTGTCCTCTCCTTTTTCCTGCAATATGCCCTCTCTGCTTTACCCTGGATAACACTTCTCTGTCTGTTTAAACATGTCCTACCCTATTCCACCATCTTGATCCTCCCAAATGATTTTTTAATCAAGCACTTTATAGATAGACCACACTTTGTGTGGTTGGCCATTAAGCTTAAACATTAAACTCCTTAAGTTTTTGGTTTCATCTTCCTTCTTTCTCCACTTATGAAACAAAACGGTATGTTTTGCTTTTGAGTCTTCCAACAGATTAGATCTTGCTGTCCTTGTATAGTAGCAGGTTAAAGCTCAAATGATTAGGTTCCTGCCACTCAGTGGGAGACTCAGATTCAGTTCATGGCTCTTAAATTGGTTCTGTCCACTTCCTGCTGTTGTGGGCATTTGGATTGTAAACCTGTCAGTTTGGGATCTCTGACTCAGAGTAAAAAGAAAAAAGAAAGCAAGAAAGATAGAAAAAGAAAGAAAAGTAAATGCACAGGAAAATAAGCATTTCGTGTATATCCTCTACCATTTCCATCTGACCAGATACTCAGCTACTTGATGCCTTTCAGTGACTTGTACAACTTGAAGTCTGCTTTCAGTTCACTGTAACCTGAGATAACCTGTATTCTAGGAGCAAGGAATCTACATGCAGTGTAATCCACCCTATAAAAGTTCTATATTATAACAATGTAAATGTCTATCACGTCTTCAGTTTTTAGAGACACATCATTCTTAGTTTCAACTGACTTGATAGTTGATTCTCAAATACTTGGAAATTTTCTCTAGATAGATGTAATACCCCAGGAATACTTGATGTTAGCCATTCTGGAGGATTTAAGGAGAGGATTATGTCTCAAATCAATTAAAGTGATAGTTGAACACCAAGGGTACATATCAAAATTCACCAGTGAACATATCCCATAGAAGTATCATAACAAAAAAGATAAAAACAAATGTTAACAAGAATGTGCACAGATTGGAGCCCTTATCCCTTGCTAGTAGGAATGTAAATGGCATAATTACTTCAGAAAACTGATGATTCTTATGATGGTTAGAGTCACATATAATTCAGCATCTCCCTTTCTAGGCGTAATCCCAGGAGAACTGAAAGTCTACTTCAAGCAAAAGTGGTACTAAATGCTCACAGGAGGATTTTTCATAATAATTAAAAAGCGGGTGTAACTAAAATGTCCGTTACTTTGTGAATGGAGAAGTCAATTATGATATATCCATTCAGTCAGTTACTTAACAATGAAAACAAATGCAGTGCTGATCTGTATTTTGGATACTGGGTTAAAACAGCCAATCACAAAGGAACCCCAGGCTGTGATTCCTTCTAGCTCAGATATTCAGAAGCTGCATACTGTAAAGCCAGAAAGTAGGCTAGTAGCGGTCTCCAGTTAGCTGATGAAAATGTACATGACTCTGTAAGTGGATTAACTAGATGTCATGACTTATATTCTAATAAAGCAATTCTAGCAATCACGCATGGGGCTTTTTTTTTTTTTACTTTTTTTTTATTTTTGACAATCTTTACATAGTTAATTAGGGTAAAAAGGTTCAAGGGCTATAGGAAAGTGAGTAAGACTATTATTTCCATATTGTTTCCTTCATGTATCTGAGGTAAAGGGGGATATTGAGGGAGAAGCCCACCCAGTCTCCCACCCACCCCAGGTCCCAGATGTGGGGAATGCTCTGAGATACATGCTCAAGTGGTTTTGATAGTTCACCAGTTATGAATCGCTGCCAGTCTCACCACTCCAAGTACAATGAGGTCATTGAAGAATCCACTGATTGACATAGTCCATCTTAGAGTCTCCATTTGCCCAGTATTTCGCCTGCAACATATAGCTGAGGTGGTTGATTGACCTATTCTGTCTTCTCTCTTTTCTTGGTTAGGGTTCTGAGTTCGGCATTTCGATTGAGGAGATCCCCAAAGAAACTTTGTCTGAGGTGTTCCCAGACCAGATTTTTGTATGCACTAGCAAGTACAGGGCCTGGCACAGTCCATTGCCCTGATCAGCTGGTGGTTGCAGTTGCTAGATTGGTTCTGTTTTCAGCCCCAACTTCCACTGGAACCAATGGGTGTTGCAGTCTGGCCTGGTTCTGCCCAGCACATACTAGGTCCTCGCATAAACCAGTGGGAGCTGCAGCCTAGTTGGAGCAACCCACAATAACCCCCACCAGGACCGCCCCCTACCCTGGTTTGCCAGTATGTGTAGCAGACTAGTCCATTTGGCTCTCAGGCATGTCGATGGGTATTGAAGCTTAATTCCTTCTAACCAGCTCAAGTATTCAGCCCACACAGATGTTGTTGGGTGCCTCTCTGTCTAGCCACCCTAGCCCCTGTCCTAGTTTTTGTGCCCTCCCATGGGAGTAGTAATCCAAGAGGGAGGAGCCCACTATTTCCCTCCCCAGTCTCTCACTGGCATGGAGCTTTTTGTAATGCCAGATTTGACTTCCTGAATTTGATCCACTGAATTATAGTGATTTTTAATCTTTTAGAAGAACCTCTATGGTAATAATAAACACTTGCTTTCTCTATCATAAAATATGTTGTTTTTGACAATGAAGTATGTAATATATCTCATACTTAATTACTGTCAGTTTTCTATTGCATGTAAGTTTTTCTTTTTTTTTTTTTTTAACTTACCAGGTTCTTGCTTGGAATATGCTGTTATGTTGGATAAAGAAGCCAAACCTTACAAAGTTGATCCTTTTGTAATCATGATTAAGTTTCTTTTGGGGTAAGTTTTACTACCTGTAATAATGACTTTAATTTTACTTAAACATACTTAGTTCCATAATGCAGTATGCAGATTTTCATATAGATTTACCAGTTGTCTTGTTTTATTAACAGAAATTTTTCTCTTAGAAAAAGTCTTAATAGATATATCATCATTTATTTCTATAGTATAATCATTTTATGGGCAATTTATACAACGCCCCCCCCCCCACACACACACCAAGAAAAATGTTGGTTTTAAATTTTATGCCAGCTCTTTAACATTTGTAACTGATTGTGTATGGTCCGTGATCCTTGAGTATTTTATATTCACAAACATAAATCATTATGGGGTATTGTTGAAATAATGCCTCTGATCTCTTCCTCTTACTTAACATTCCATTGTTAATTTATTCACATTTGTGGTATTTTTGTTTTGTTTTGCCTTTTTTTTTTTAGCTAAGAACAATTGCTTAGGGAGCTGATGTTTAGCCAAGTAGTTAAGATGCCTGAGTCCTCCACCACAGTACTTGGTTAAGTTAAATTCCTGACTCTGACTCCGTCTCACTCTACTTTCCTGCCATTGCAGACCCTCGGAGGTAGCAGTGTTAGCTCAGTTTTGGTTCCTGCAACCAACCCTTTTGCATTACCTGGATTGAGTTCACAACTCCTGGCTTCCAACCTTAACCTGGGAAGTCAGTTGATGAGAATTCTCTTTATCTCTCTCTCTCTCTGCCTGTCTAATAAATAAATTTTAAAAATTCAAAACATCACCTAGGTATCTTTTTTTCTGTCGTTGTATATCGAGCTGTTGATTTTAACCACAAGTAAACACAGACCACATTATTAAAGGATCGGTAAAAATCAGAAATGCTATATTGAGACTCAGTTCTTAGATCCTTTAAAATCATAAGGCTCACTTGAATGGAATGATAAGGATATGTTATGTACAAAGAATTGAAATTTATTTATTTATTTATTTTTCAGTATAATTATAAATTATAAATTATGGAATTAGAGACTCTTTTAGGTGGTCAAATACCTTAAATATTAATTCCTTTAATGTCAGTTGTTTGCTCATTTATCTTTTATGTTTTATCCACAGATATAAATGGTTTAAAGAAATCTGGGATACATTGTTGTTACCAGAATTAGATGCAATCGTCTTAACCAGTCAGAGCATGTGTTTCCCCCTTGTTTCTTTGATTCTCTTTTTATTTGGAACTTGCACTGCCTATTGGAGTGGTCTAGTCTCTTCCACATCTGTGAAACTTCTTTCTTCACTATGGCTAGCTTTGAAAAGGTAAAAAAAAAAAAAAAAAACTTCCTTACTATTCCTAAATAAGAAAAAATTGGTATTCTAATATGAAGTGTTAAAATTATTTTTAAGAAACTCTTTTCTAAGGAATTTAGGTATAAATAGCAAAAATAGGGGTTAGTGTTCAAAGTTGTCTTTGTAAGCTAGTCATTTATTGCAAATTAAATGCTATATTTAATGTTTACTGTAGTGCTGAAAGGTTAATAAAGTTTGATCAGCTACACAGGTTTTTTAAATTTCACTGTTGAAAACTTTCTTAAAAGGAATTATTTGTGTGGCAGTGCTTTTATATGCTGACTTCTGCAATCAAATCTCAGGACAAAAGACTTTACTCAAGATAGTTAACATCAGTTTAGATGGAGCATAAAAGTTCCAAAAACTTTGGATTCCAAATCCTTTGCCTAGGATTTTCTTGGAGGCCGGAGATTGTGTTTTCCTGGTAAAACACCAGTCTAGCTTCCCTTGCCTCTCCTTTGTCCTGGACATGTGGTTTACTGTCCCTGGGTTACTGTGATGTGACCCCTCACCCTGCACCGTTCTGAAGTGCCTCTGCTGGGGCTTCTAACTGTAATGCCACCGAGCATGTGGGTGATAGTGTTGTGAAGTGGTTTAAACAGACTTCTCAGACTGTGAAGGTTGAAGATGTGTGGCACAAGGTCTAGCATTAGTGGTTATCTTTGTAAACACTTTTTATGGCTTAGCACAATTTCTGCTACAAAGTATATGTAAATGTATAGTAAATATAAAGCATATGAGCAAACTTGACTTTTTTTTTTTTAGAAACAAATCAGCTTTAATTTTTTGAAGCGAAAACCCGGGTCAGCTGTCTTAGATGCATGTGGAAATACACAGCTGGAATGCTGCCTATCTCTTCTTTTTATTTTTTTCCAGTGGTCTAAATTTTTTTTTTTTTTTTGAGGTTTGATTATTCAGCCTAGGCCTGTACCCTTGAGAAACTTGGGGTATTTTTCTTCTTGCTATTTGTTTAATTCTTTACCTAATGGAATTTTAAGCTTCTGATTGTGAACTGACAGTATAATATTGTAAAATTGAAATACAAGAGAAAGAGAAATAAGGGAGGAGGAGGGTGGTTGGGGAACCCAGATGAGAGGGTACGATGGGAAGTACTGCTGTGCTGCTAAGTGTGTGTTCTGAAATATACGGAACTTGCTCACCTTATATACATAAAGTGATTTAAAATGTTTTAAAGAATAAGAAGAGGTTGGCAAAGTACTGTACTTTGGGTACTTTGGATATTTCTTATCAAGAAGGCTTGAGACCAGAGTGTTTTGCATTTATTTTTAATATTTGCATGTGTATAGTGGGAAATCTTGTGAATAAGGTGCAAGTCTAAGCACAAAATGTACATATGTTTTCTATGCACCTTATACATATATCCTCAAGATAATTTTATAAAATACTGCTACTCTTCCTGTTTGGACTGCAACCTCATCTTGAGCTTAGGTGTGGAATATTCTTTTCCACTGTGACATCTTGTCATTATTCAAAAAAATTGGATTTGGGGACCTTCAAATTTGGGGTTTTTAGATTAAGAATGCTTATATAATTTTATGTACATAATGTAAATAGTTTTATTTGTATGATATCTGTTTTTGAACTTTATTCTTTTTATTCCAGACCCTCTGAACTTCCCAAAGATATCAAGATTTTACCACCATACCTGCCATTTTTGACAATTGTTTTGATCATAGTTAGTTGGACAACTTGTGGAGCACTTGCCATACTTCTTGCTTATTTTTACTATGTGTTTAAGGTATGTCAGATCAGTAAAGGCAGCTTAGTAAAAGCAAGTACAGATTTTCATGGAAGTTTTGTATAACTGTTTTAAATGTAGTTTTTTAAAAAATTATTGAAATTACATAAACTAACTATAGAAATTATTCGAGTTGGGGTTGTTAATGAAACAGAAACAGCAAATATAATGTTTGGAGTTCTTTGTTGCATTTTGAATTCTTTGAAAACATTTTTAGAGCAGTTTTTATTCACGTATCTTCAAATATGAGAGAAAACAAAAAGCATGATCAATTCCTTATGCTGAGATAATGTAAAATATTAGAAAAAGTGCCAAAAAACCAGAGGACAGTAATAAAAATAAATAAGTTGGTAATGTTACTGATTAAAAAAAGCCCTATAAGCAGGCTAACAGCTCCTAGCAGGGGCCAGGAAGTGACACACTTGTGTGCTCTCTGTATTATTCTTACGGACAGACTGCTGGCAGTTGCTTAGATAATGATTTTTTCTTTTCTAAACAAAGGTTTATTTGCCTATGCTTTTAATATCAGTTTATGCATGCACAGTATAAATTATTTTCTAAAGGAAACTTATATGCATCGGAAAAGCTATTTGTAGATATTTTGATTTATAAATCTATTTGTATTTATACTTTTTTTCTTATATGTCAAACACCTGACCTAATAAGCAAGACTGTCTCGAATACTTAAAGAAACCTAATGAATTAAATTTAGATTTTTTTCCTATTTCTTAGAAACAAAGATTCCATCACTGCATATAATCAAGATTAGATTTGAATGGGTTTAAAATAATGTAAAATATGTTAAGTTCTTTTACTCTATTTAATAATCAGATTTTTGTCTTGTAAGACACATTAACTTGCTATATCAAGACATCATTCAAACTTTAAACATAGCTCACAGAATGTAAAAATATTGCAGTATGCTCTAGCTCCAATGCAAATTTGTATTGTTTTGTTTTCTGCTTTTTAAAAATCTGTGACAGCAAATACATGCAGTTACTATCTTTTTAAAAATAATGTTTAAATGAATTTTCAGTTGTTTTATTTTTTTAATTTAGGATTACATTGCTTTTTAGTTACACTAGAAGGTTTATATTTGTTATTTCAAACTAGAATTTAAGTCATTCTCTTTTCTTAGGTTGTTCATCTACAAGTTTGTCTAGCAACTTTTAAAAGTAATCAGCCTGTGGTAAGTTATGGTCAAAACTCTATTTGATTTTAACGTGAAAGAACATGAGGAAATGTAAGATTCTGTTTTTAAAAAGGTTATGATCTTGGGGCTGACATTATGATGTATTTGATTAAGTAGCTGCTTAGGATGCTGGCATTCCATTTGGGTATTGGTTCAAGTCCTGACTGCTCCATTTTCACTCCAGCTCTCTGCTTACATGCCTGGGAAAGCAGCAGAGGATGGGTCAAATCCTTGGGGTTCTGTACCCATGTCTAAGACCTGGATAAAGCCCCAGATTCTGCCAGGCCCAACCCTGGTCCTTTCTGCCAGCTGGAAGATTTCTTTCTGTGTCTGTCATTCTCTCTCAAATAAATTTTTTTTTTGAAGTTATGGTCTTACAGTGTTTAAAAAAGTGTATGGACCTGGTGTGATGGCACAGTTGGCTAATCCTGCCTTTGCTTGCAAGTGCTGGGATCCCATATGGGTGCCAGTTTGTGTCCCAGATGTTCTGCCTCCCTTCCAACTCCCTGTTTATGGACTGGGAAAGCAGTGGGGGATGGCTGAAATGCCTGGAACTCAAACCCCTTGCAGGAGACCCAGAGGAAGCTCCTGACTCCTAACTTTGACTTGGTTCAGCTCTGGCCATGTGGGAAGTGATCCAGTGGATGGATGATCTTCCTCTCTGTCTTTCTTCCTCTCTGTTAAATCTGCCTTTCCAATAAAAATGAATGAGTCTTAAAAAAATTTTATTAATATAAGTAACTTTAAGGCAAGTGAATTTAACTAAAATAGAGTTAGGTCATTCTATATTAATCTTTATTGATATGTAGTTTTGGTATTATAAATTATTCTTTGATTTTTTTTTAGTAATTTAAATAAAAACTTGCAAAAATGACAATAAATAAGTTTATTTCAGAACAAGACTGAAATCTAAGATTCTGAAATCCATGTAATTTTTTTGTAGTATGCATTTCTCTGAGCTTATTGAAGTCCTCTCGTATGCATGAATTGCAAAATTATTCTGCACTATCAACTTACTTGACTTTGTGAAGCACACTTACATTCTCAGCCGTAGAAGTAGTAAGCCAAAAGAGTGAAAGGAAAGTGTTGAAACTGTTGCCATTTTGAAGTACTTTTAAGTACAATAATTTTAATGTTTTGTGTAAGTTTAGTAATGAAAAGGTACTTATTTATATTTTAAGTAGTTGACCATAATTCTAAATGAAATATCTTAACATTATTTGTTTATTTAGTACCTTGATATTTTTACTTTGTGCTTTTGTAGAATACAAAACACTCTAGAAGAAGTGAAAAAAAGTCCAGTCATCACAAAGACGCTACAGCACACCACCTTCGTTTGTCTGCCAGTGATGCCGAGGATAGTCTGCGCATGCACGGTACCGTGATTAACCTGCTCACATGGGTAGTGTTACTCAGCATGCCGTCTTTAATCTACTGGCTAAAGAATCTCAAGTGAGTTTTATGTACATAACTTTTATTTCTATGCTTCAAACAATGAATATCTTTAAACAGAGACTTCTTTCATTCCTAATAGCCTTGAAAATTCCTCAGTACACTTATATATTACCTGAAATTTTATGATATCATGAGAATTTAAACTTCCCCAAAAATCATCTAAAAAAGATTTGTATTTCTGTGTTAATGAAATGAATGCCAAATGAAAGGCCACTTCACTCAAGTAACAGCTGAGCCCTACCCTACTGTATAGTTTTCAAAAATAAAATAAAACTTCCAGATTTTCTGAATATAGAAAGTATTTTTAAGTTGATAAAACAAAAGTAAATTCGCAAGTTCACTCAAAGCTTCCCAGAGGTTAATATCCTGCCCTTGTCCCTCCTTTTAGTCAGGACTCAGAGTTTTCTTATCAGATTTGAAATCAGAAATATTTGAGGAATGCATATTTGTGATTCTGAAAGGCTGTAGATATCTTACTGTCAATAAATGCAAGACATAAGAATTTGGATCTTAGAAGATTCGAGTTACTTAATATAGACCTTCATTTTATGTTTTGTTATAGAGTTAATATATTTTAAATAACCTTTTTTTTTTAAATGTAGGTATACAAATGTAGAGGCTATTGTTTGGTACAACATTAAGGCATTTCTTGCAATGCCCACTTCCCAATTTGCACCCCATGCCCACTATCCATTCCTGCTTCCTGCTGTGGTGTATCCTCAGTGGCAGTAGGTGGCAGCTGGAGCATCTGCCTCCCCGCCAGCCGCAGGGGAGACCTGCTTTAAATTCTGTCTTAATCCTGGCCCAGCCATGGCTGTTGTGAGCATTTGGAGAGTGAAGCAGCACATCAGAGATCATGCTTTCCCTGTAGATCAATAAGTGGCTCTCTCCCCATGCCTCTCTCTCTCCTCTACCTTTCTGCTTCTCCCTCCCTTCCCCTTCTGTCCTTCCTTCTCTCTCTCCCCCTCACTCCTTTCCTCTCTCTTTTCCTTCCTCCCTTCCTCTCCTGTCCTCCATCCCTCCCCTTTACTCCTTTCTCCCTCTCTCCCTCTCCATTCCTCTCCATCTTCTTCTTGCCTCTCTTTCCCTCCCTCCCCCTCTCTCTCCTTCTCTCCCTCTCTTCTCCCATCCTTCCCTCCTTGGCTCTCCTCTCCCTTTCCCTTCCCTTCTCACTCACTCCCTCTCTGCCTTCCTCCCTGTCATATACCTATTGTAAAAAGGAAATGCTTTCATACTATATATTTCATTTCCTATAATAGTTTGTAAACACAATTTTTAATATAAATCAGAATATAAAGATGATGTAGAGCAAAAGTATTAGAGACTTAATGAGCTGTTTAGAGGTCTCATTTATATTGCTACTAGGATGTTCTAAAAAATATATAATTTGATTCTTATAATTTATTATTTTTCTTTTTTTAATTTTGATTTTTATGGTACAATTCCATAGGGTTTGGAATTTTCCTCCCCCCAATTCCCATCCCCCGACTGATTTCCCCATATTATTACAGTAGCATAGTCCTTCATAAGGAATCATGATTCCATCATTCTGTTACTTAAGTGTGCCCCAATATTGCTGGTATAAACAATGTCAGACCAGCATCTCATTTTCTAGATCTGTCCCAACAATTTCATTGGGAGTCCGTCTTTGATTTGGAAATAGGGATGCATATTACATTGCATTATCATATCTGGATATGATAGTCTCTGCTACACCATCACTATACATTCCCTTAAATGAGAAGCTACGAAACAAAGTCAACAACAGGTATGAAGTTAAAACAAGAACAACAACAAATTACAGCACCATGGAGTCAAAAAAAGTACACTGGTTTTTATAATTTAAAGTTATCTGCTCTTTTTTTGTATTTTTATTGCTACAGGTATTATTTTAAACTTAATCCTGATCCATGTAAGCCTTTGGCATTTATCCTTATTCCAACCATGGCTGTTCTTGGAAATACTTACACTGTTCCGGTAAAATCAAGGTATAGTAGTTTAATCTTTCTCCTTCTTACTTGTTTTCTGGCCTTTATTACCTTTATTGTATTCCTGAAACACACTCTTAGTTGTTAATTAATTAGGTTATTCCTGTAAGTAAAGCCATAACATTATTATGATTATGAAAAAGTAGTTTAGGGCCCGGCGCGATAGTGTAGGGGTTAAGGTCCTCACCTTGAGCATGATGGGATCCCATTTGAGTGCCAGTTCTAATCCTGGTGGCCCTGCTTCCCATCCAGCTCCCTGCCTGTGGCCTGGGAAAGCAATGGAGGACAGCCCAAAGCCTTGGGACCCTGCATCTGTGTTGCAGACCCAGAAAAAGCTGCTGCCTTTGGGTTGGCTCAGCTCTAGCTGTTGTGGCCGCTTGAGGAATGAACCATCGGCCGGAAGATCATCTTTTCTGTATATCTGACTTTCCAATAAAAATAAAATTAATCTTTTTTTAACGCTGAACTTTATGCTAGGCATGTGTTTGCAGGGAATGAATCTCAACTGAACTTGAACTATGGTTATGCAACAAGGTGGAGGAATCCACTATGGGGGGAGGGGTATGGGAGGGGTGGGGGGAATCCCCAGCGCCTATAAAACTGCACCACATAATACAATGTAAACAACAATAAAATTTAAAAAAAAAAAAGTAGTTTATATACAAGTGTGTTATACTTGTTTTCTTAACTATAGTCTTTAGTTCTAAGGATACAATAATAAAAAGGATTTCTTTTAGAAAAATAACCTGTAAAAGATATGGATGGGAACCATTGTCATGACATAGTAGGTGAAACCCACGGCATGCAATGTTAGCATCCCAAGTGGGTGTCAGATTCCCTGCTGCTCCACTTCTTATCCAGCTTCTTGCTAACACATCTGAGAAAGCAGCAGAAGATGGCCCAAGTGCTTGATGCTCTGCAGCGCTGTGAGACCTGGAAGATGTTTCTGAAACTGGCTTTGGCCTTGCCCCAACCCTGGCCATTGTGTCCAGTTGGGGCATGAAGCAGAAGATTGATGACTTCGCTCTTGTTTCTTCCTTTCTAATTCTTTCAAATAAATAAATAAATCTCGTTTTAAGGAGAAAAGAAAATAATAATTTGTATGATTTGCTTCTGAAAGGACAGGAGTAGATACATGTGCGTAGGTGAAGGATTCACTGTGACTTCAGAATTTTCAAAACTGAATCATACAGTTAGTTTACTTTTATGTATGGTGCCATTTTCCAAGGTGACCTTTGGTGTTTTCTTACCGATTATTACTCTGGAAGTCTTTCCAGTTGATTCTGGCAGAGATTTGTTAGATAGTCTAGAATTAAACAGGTGTTAAATCTCGACTCACTATTAACTAGCGCTGCGTTCTTCAGCAAATTTTCTAATTCATGTTGTCTTCAGTTTCTTCATTTTTTGAAGCAAAAAATGAATCTTTTTTGAGAGTAATATACCCTTAAAATATTTAATATTTTGGCTTATGTCTTTGTTTTATTATTACTGATTAGTCTTTTTTGTTTGGTGTTTTCTTTTTTTCTTTTGCTTTTTTAAGTAGGAGTAAGATAAACATTCCTGCAACTGTGTCATAACATTATTGGTTGGCTTTGTTAGGGAGCATGCCTGAAGACAAAATTATTAGATAAAAGTCCAGTTAGTATCTTTCTGTTAAAATGTGAAAATGTAAACAGAACCGTTTTCTGCATAGAAATATTTTTCCTTTTCTAACCAAAGTAAATCTTATAAAAATTCAGATATATTAATTATGTTAAAAATTATTTTATTACTTCGTTGTTTAGGATACTTTTAACAAAACGGTCTAAAAAGCAGATGTTTCTCTTTTTTTAAAGATTTACTTATTTTTATTAGAAAGGTGGATATACAGAGAGGAGGAGAGGCAGAGAGGAAGATCTTATGTCCGATTGTTTACTCCCCAAGTTACTGCAGTGGCTGGAGCTGAGCCAATCCAAAGCCAGGAGCTCTTCAAGGTCTCCCACATGGGTGCAGGGTCCCAAGGCTTTGGGCCATCCTCAATGCTGTCTCAGGCCCCAGACAGGGAGCTGGATGGGAAACAGGGCTGACAGGATTAGAACTGGCAACCATATGCATCCCGGTGCGTGCAAGGCGAGGGCTTTAACCCCATTCTATTGTGCCAGGCCCAGACGTTTCATTTTTTACTCACATGTAGCATATGTAATATGTGTTTCTCTCTCTTTGCAGTAAATTGTTGAAGACTGCTGCACAATTTCCACTTCCTCTTGCCGTTGGTGTGATTGCTTTTGGGTCAGCGCACTTATATAGGGTTCCAAGCTTTGTCTTCATTCCTCTTTTACTTCATGCAATGTGCAACTTTATGTAAGGTTGAACTTAAGGACTCATGAAGATGATGAATGCCTCTAGAGTCAGTAAGAAGAGTGAACCTACAGATTGATCCACATGGACAGCAAGGTCCTTTGGAGAAGACAAGTCTATTTTTACAGTATTGGAAATCGGAAATTAGTTTTGTAATGCTTGAGAAAAATAGTTGGAGCCTGGTTTTGTTTTTTTGTGTGACATCCATGCATTAGTCATTTTTGAAAAATTAATGAAAGGATATGGTGGCCACTGTCTTTGAGGGTTGTGGTACATCACCCACTGCTATACTTCATCAGCCATACCAGGGATTTTCATGTAGAAACTCCATAGTTAGGACATAGTTTGTAATCTCATGTCAACACTCTGCTCATTTCACCAAGCTTTCTAAGGAAGTGGGTTACTTTATATGTGTTACGGCTTACATATTGAAAAATGTCTTAAAAGTTTAATGAAATGTATAGCTGTTTGGTTTCTCACACGTGAAATAGACACTAAAGTCTTTGGTCAGTTTATGTCAGTCATGATGAATACAGTAGATCTTTTATCTTAATGTCTGTAATAATCACTGTGTTGTCACCACTGCAAGGCTGATGGATTGAAACACTATTCAAATTTGAAATGGGAAATATTATTGTTACTTTAAAATATGAACTTTATATAGTCTTGGTGAATATTAGGACACTATTAAAGCGATTGTTAAGTAAGAAGAAAATTCTAAATATTTACTTATTGGCATTGAAGAAATTCAGTTTTTCAGGCAATACCATATGATTCAATTCGCTGCCTCCCCCCATGGTTTTCAAAAGTGCCTGAAGCGATGATAAATTGGTAACTAAATTCTGTTGGTTAGAGATAACTCCAGGTTTGCACCATTTTTATCTGCTGTAGAAAAAAAAAAAAAAAACCTTGAGGAATTGATGTGAGCATTTGATGTATAAAGTGATGTTATAAATATTTCATGGTACTTGCATAAATTGAATCTGTAGTGACTAGATTTTGACAGTGGAATCTTCTTGAGTTACTGTTTGGCAAATAAGGAAGTTACATTTCTATTTCATTTCACATTTTGGTTCATTAGCTGCAAAGGAGTAGGAAGCGGGTAATGGACTCAAGTAAGAGAGTTTAGCTGTCTTAGCGTTTGGATAGAATAAACTCAAGCTGAGATCCACTTGGCTCACATACCCCTTCTTGTAGATATGTGAACTGTAAATGGCTGGAACCTCTTAAGTGAAGTCCTAAGTTCCAGTGATTCCACAGTAATGTTTGTGAGCTGTTTTCTCAGCACCCAGGCATGTCCTAGAGAACCAGCTTCCTTTTATCTGCTGTTGTATTTGAGTTTCATTACAACCTCTCAGCTGTCACTGCCTGTGGAGGATCATTTCCATGGGGTTACCTCATGTCTCAGTTCCTCCCAGGTCCTTGCTATTTTAGCATGAGTTGAAAAAGATCTTACTGTTAGATTGGAGGGATATAAGTTTGATCCCATTGTGGTGCTTTCGAGCTTCATTCCTTTTGTTCAGTATTTCAGTTACTGAGCCTATTAAAGGAAAGCGATAACCTCAGGAGGTATGGCAGCCACATCAGGCTCTTGCTACTTGAAGAATTAACAAAAGGAATAAAATATTAGAATGTTTATGTACTCAGTCACTGCTAAGAAAGAGGATTTATTATATACTTATGACACACAAAAGTTAAGGACACCTCTGCTTATGGTTATACATACCATTATGAACAGCTTTTATACATGGGGCAACTTTGGGATTGCCACTGATGCTGTATCTCAAGTTATGAGTTAAATTAACTATGAATTTGAGCTTTGTCTAGATATAGAAAGAACTGCAAAAAAATTGAATATTTTGTTGTCAGACCTTATTGTTTATATGATCTAAGGTTTCATAGTCAGGACTGTTCATGCATTAAGTGAATTTGTTCTTATTTTTGAGTAGTAAGTGTGATTTTTTTTCCAAGTCATCTAGTCTTAAGTATGCCAACAAAATATTTCATTCTAAGGGTGACAAAAAGGATTCTAAATAAACATTTAATAAAAAAAATGGTAGGTTGGGGCTTCAGCTACTACATCGATATACTAACAGTGGTATAGAAAAAAATGAGGACATAGAATATAAAAGATGATAGTATATTTATATAGTTCATTTGTTTTTATCTAACTTGTTTTAGTCCTCTATAATAAATATGCCCCACTCATTAATTTAGCACAAATGAAACTTTCTGGTAAATGTAGACCCACTCTTTATAGTCATTCTCTTGTTTCTAAAAGTGTCCCCTAACTATACTGGTCACCTCGGGTTCTCACTTCTTGAATTCAGTTTGAGTTCACTGTGCTCTCAATGTATACACATTCATTCTGGCAGCATCTTCATCAAACTCTGTAAATCCAAATGGCTACCAGAGCTGAGAAGGTAGACTGTGTCTGAACATGAGCAGAACTGCTTTGTTAAACACTAGGGGAAGTGCTGGACTGTAGAAGATGCTGCTCTCAGGCTTACATGCTGTAGTAATTCTGGTGAAAGAGCATAGCCCTCTTAGCACATAACTGAAAATACAGTTGTTAGTGGAAGTTAGAGGTGATGTAATTTCTGAACTTCCACTGTTAGGGCATTTTTATTTAGCAATTATTCGGTTTTAAGTTAAGTTTTGTGCTTGTAAAATAACTCCTGGGCCCTATTATTGACAGATCAAATATCGACTAGATAGGAAAAAACACTAGGTACTTGGAATTTTTCCAAGGGGTCTTCTGCAGTTTTTACTATACTTTAGAGCTGACAGTATGATAGAAACTATTGGCATTCTTTTTTTTTTTTTCTGGGTCTTTTTTATGCCAGAAAGTATAGTTCTTCTTGACTCTTTTTCTTGGCTTTTACCAGAAGGAAAATATTTAAAGTAGTGTTTATTTAAAAAAAAAAAAAAGCCATTTGTGCCTCATTAGCCTGGTTAACATTGATTTTTGAATCTCTTTAATATGTAGACATACTAATGATTAAGTCTTTGTTTTCATATTTTGATTTAGTAAATTCAGATATGTATAACAGAATACCTTTTCTTGGGTAAACCACATGATTATTCAGTAAGAAAGTGGAAATATAATGGGCCTAGTTGGTGTTTGTCATTAATTACCACTTCTGCAGGCATTGCACATTTCCCTAACACTAAAATTTATGTGAGATGATTTGTTTGTCAAATAGTTCTTATTCTTTCCTTTAGACTTTTCAGTTAGGACAAGATGTATTCATTGCACCTTCCTTCTAATCAACACCTCTTTAAAAAGATAGTAAAAGAAAATAAATGCAGGTAAATCTACATGAATGCCCAGATTAACCAGTTGGCCTATATGCTCTTCTTAGACATTGGGTCAGAGTTAGTACAATGTTTTCCACTGATTCTAGCTTTAGTTTAACACTTTTCAGTGCTGCCTTTGAAACTTTAGAAAATGGTTAGTCAAGTCATTTGGGGAGAACTTAAAACTTCTATTTATTTTATTTATTTGTTTCTTTGACCCGTATGACTTGGCATTTGCTGATTCTTTTTCATTGTCACTTTTTGTTCTCAGTTATGTAGCACTTACACACTATATATCATAGGAAACAAGCAACCTTGTGAAATTTGCTAAAGGCAGATGAGAGACTGTGATACCAGATGAAAGGAAGCAATAAAGGTAGATTTGTGTTAGGAAATTTGACTCTGCCAGAAAATTTCCTTGCCAGATAAGGTAAATGTAGACAATAGTTTTAGAACACTGCAAGATAATTGAGACCTGAAAATTTAGCCCAGAATTTTTTGAACAAAGAACATCTCAAATTCTGTAATGAACTTCTTTTTATGTACATTGTTCATGCGTTCTTTTACAGTAAAATTTAGTACTTTGAAAAAATAAGTCTGTGAAGTTACTGTTTGTTTTCTGTAAGGCAACATCAGGTCAGTAACCCACATTCAAATAGATGTATTGTAAATTCTCAAAATTCACGCTTTTTAAAAAGCAAATTATGAATACCCTAATTTTATATGTTTGGTGACTTAGTTTTGAAAACAAGATAAAATTTGGAAGTAGGGAGAAAAGATAAGCTGTTCTGCATTAGTAATGTAAATTTAACAGTTTATAGATAACATGTCTTTCAAAAGCTAGGTGGCATTTTGAGCTGTTTCTTGTTTAAATTGTAGATGGTTGATATTTTTTAATCAAGTGTAATATTTTGTGAGTGCATTTGACCTGTTACCCTCCTGAAAATACTGGTTTTGAAAAGCCACGTGATCAGTTTCTGATGACTTTGTATATGACTTATATATCAATTCAAAATCAGTCTGTAATCATGTGACTTTGAACACTGACAAAAAAATTTTTGGTGGTATATTTTAACTAGTTAGCATAAATTTCTTTGCATATTTGAATTCACTGTCAGTTTAGGTAGTCTAAAATTAGCCATTTTGGTAAAGTTCATATGCTATTTTTTTAATGTTTTGGTTTTTAGTATTTATATAGTAGTAATGTTGCTAATTTTCAAAAGTTTATAGATAAAGCATAGAGCTATTAACTATTCCAAGGTCTAGGTAAAGGCATATTTTGTATTTCATGTTGCAGTTTTTCTTTTTCATAGTAGACTTTTTACATCCCTTTTATAGGAACAAAAGGCATGTTTGAATTCTTGGTATAAAGCTCTGCGTTGGAAATTATATAATTGTATTCATACAAAAATACGCTTTGCCACCAAAGCTTAATGAAACTGTAAAATACCTCTGGATATTTGTGCCAATGAATTTTTCTTAGCATATTGGGATTAAAGCAAAAATGGTTTTCTCAGTATTTATCATCTGGGACTTATAATAAATATGTAAAGCATGAAAATACTGCTATTTCATATTTTTTTCAAAACATTCAAGATTATAGCAGAGTGTGTCCTATTTTGCCTGATTTCTTCAATGTATTATGATTTTATTGGTAAACATTTACACACTAGTGATCTTTCAGCAGTTAGTTGAAATAATCATTTGAAGTAACTGCTTTGTATTCATTTTGTGATGTGAATAATTTTTTATTCTATGAGTGTTTGACTTATGTAGTTGAAAGTTTATTGTGGAAATTTTTTTTTGTTTTCGGTGTATTTTTTTGTTTGTTTTATTTTTGTTTTCTGTGTATTTTTGCTTAGTTCCTTTATATAGTTTATGTGCTTCAGCGGAAGAAATTATCCCTTAGGACCTACCATACATAGTCCAATGAAGTAAAAAGAAAAATTTTTTTTAAGTTTTCCTTAAAGGACAATGTTCTAGAACATTGGAGATGTTTATGATAACATGTTAATATAAACAGTGGTGTACATGAGAGACAGTAGAAATATGGTAGTCTCAGAAACTAATGTTTATTTGTCTAAATACTTGATTTCTCCTCCCCCCCCCCAATGAAATTCTAAGGAAAGTTCAGACCTTTTTGGTTTACTCCATCATTTATTATCACTTCCTGTTTCTGTGCTCAGTACTGTAGGTTCAGTTTGTGTAAGTAGCTGTGAGGTGAAGAGGCAACCTAGAAAGCCAAATATTATAGTATTTGACCTTGATAGAGTGAGCTCATCCAGTTATTTAGTGAGGGCTATGTGCGATATTAGTTTAAAAAAATGATTTGCAAGACAGAAATCCAGTGTACACAGTTTTTTGGAATGAGTTTGTCCTCTGTGTTGAATAATGTTATCCTTAGCAGGAGATGCTTGTGTTTAATGTAATCGTGTGTTCTACCGTCAAGTATCGATCTGTTGGAATATTGGTAATACAACCATTTTCCTCTTACTATGGAAAACAGAAAACACTCCAATATGTAGTGTGTCTCAGTTAGGATAATGGATCATGTATGTGTATTTTTAAAATAGAAAAATGAAGTAAATATATTGTTTTGAAGTGATTGTATTGCATTTTTTGAAAATATGACTAAATAGAAATGTAGCAATGTACCCATGAGAAAGCAGACCAAAATTAAATATTTGTCATCACTGTGACCTTGAACTTATAGTCGTTTCGGATAAAACAAACTGTGCCTTAAAATGAAAATGGAATGCCCTGCAGTTTTTAACTATACTTTATCATGGGTGGTCTTTGCAAATTGGCCCTATTTCTTTTACTTTAAGGTTGGTAAAATATGGAAGTTGATCAGTACCTCCCATATTATCTACAGAATGATTGTTCTAGAGTTCTTCCTTAATTTCTAGAGTTCTTCTTTTTTTTTAATTGACTTAAGCTGCATGAATGTAGAAAATTAAGTTTGGCAAGGATATAAAAAATTATTTTAGAAGATGGTGGCACTTCTATTGTGAACTTATTACACACAGGAAAGTAACTTTCAGAAAAACTTTCAGTTGTAATTTTTTTGTCTTAATGAATATCAAAGGCATTATTTTTTTCCTAAGACATATTCTTATTTTTCCTCAGATTATTAAGGCTTGTGTGTGTATACAACCAATAATGTTAATGTTCCCAATTGTTATATTTCAGTAATTAAACTCATTCATTTAATATATTTTTGAATATTTTTTCCACT